CTTCTGCCAAGTCACACAGTGAATTATCAATCTATAGAGAGATTTAAATATAATCCCACAACAAAAATATATTGTTGACATCCTTGCAGAATAAATGAAAAACACCATTGCCCCACTAACCAATCAGGGCCTACAAAAAGTGATAAATTTAAGAAGTGCAAGACATCAAAAGGTCAAGACAGAGAAAAGCATTGTAATGTGGATGAAAAATACAGCCCCCAAACTCCTGATTTTTCTAACGAAAAGCCTTCACTCAATTGCCAGCCTAAAATATAACAAACATGTTTCATTTCAATTACTTGCTACCAGCAAGCAATGTACTGCGTCACTTTCGTTTGGTGATTGTTTCATTATACTGCTGGATTACTTATTAATGCTTTGTTTATTTAACTCCTAGGACACAAAAGTCTGTATTATCTGAATGCAATACCTTAAAAAGCCTCTGCTCAACACATTCCAGAACTTTTTCATAATAGCAATAAATGATGCAGGATTTTAAAAATATCTGTAAACACTAACTATAATTTGGAGGGTGTCATGCAGTAATTATTTTTCAACTGCATTTGCAGCTTTTGGATGAAAGAATAGCATTTTGTTATATAATTATGTCCTAGGAGTAACTTAAGTGTGAATCATACACAGTTGTGTTTTTAAATGATTTCATTCTGTTTCACCTCAGCAATTCTCAGGTTAGCTGGGATTTGTTAAGTTTCTAGGATTTTAATTCCATGCCATTAAAACTATGCAACATCAATAACATTCATTTGTAAACTCATGTCAAGAAAATTAGCTTCCCAAATATTGAATCAAAATTTTAGTTCATTTAAATAGGTGATGAGAATTAAGAGTACACTTACTGTGATGACCACTGAGTAATATATAGAATTGTTCAATCACTATATATTTTTTTTAAAGATTTTATTTATTTATTTATTTATTTGACAGAGAGAGACACAGTGAGAGAGGGAACACAGGCAGGGGGAGTGGGAGAGGGAGAAGCAGGCTTCCTGCCGAGCAGGGAGCCCGATGCGGGGCTCGATCCCAGGACCCTGGGATCATGACCTGAGCCAAAGGCAGACGCTTAATGACTGAGCCACCCAGGCACCCCTCAATCACTATATATTGTACACCGGAAACTAATAAAACACTGTATGTTAAAAAAAAAAAAAGTATGGTTTGGCAGACAGACACACACATATGTCAGTGAAACAGAACAGAAAACCCAGAATAGACCCACACAAGCATGGCCAACTGGTTTTTGACAAAGGAGCAAAGGCAATTCAATAGAGAAAGGATTGTCTTCTCAACAAACGGCACAGGATCAATTGGATAACCATAAGCAAAAAAAAAAACAAAAAACAAAAAAAAAAGAACCCTGACCTAAACCTCACACCTATAAATTAACTCAAAATGGATCATAGATATAAATGCAAGGTTATGAAACTTTTGAAAGAAGACATGGGAGAAAACCTTCAGGAACTAAGTTTGGTGAAGAGTTCTTAGATATATACCAAAAGCAGGATACAGAAAATTAAAAATTGGTAAATGAGACTTTATGAGAACCCAAATCTTTTTTTCTGTGAAAGATCCTGTTAAGAGGATGAAAAAATAAGCTACAGACAGGGAAAATATCTGCAAACAACATGCCCAAAAAAGGACCTATATCTCATATATATAAAGAACTCTCAAAACAATACCAATTAGAAAAAGGACAAACTATATGAACAGACATTTCAATGAAGAGCACATATACATAGCACATAAGCACATGAAAAGATGTTCAACATCACTAGACATTAGGGAAATGCAAATTAAAACCATGCTGAGATGTCACTATACACCTACTTGAACAACTAAAATAAAAAAATAATGACAACACGAAGTGCTGGCAAAGATGTGGAGAAGCTGGATCTCTCCCACACTGCTGGTGCAAATGTAAAATGTATGGCCACTTTGGTAAAGAGTTTGGCAGTTTCTTAAAAAAAAAAAAAAAAAAATGACATACCATATGACCCAGCAAATGCACTCCTGGGCATTTATTCCAGGTAGCTATGCTTATCATAATGAGCACTGAGTAATATACAGAACTGCTGAATTGATGTGTTGTACATTTGAAACTAATATAACACTGTATGTTAATTATACTTCAGTTTAAAAAAAGACACACAAAAATGAATTTGAACACTTTTAAACTTGTTCAACTTAATAATACTGAGTAGTTAGGTATACTTAAAAGGGCATTGTTTTTCTTTTTTTGGTTTGGTGAGTCACTAATGCAAGTATTTATTGCACGCCTGTTATACATGCTCTGCACTGAAGCATATAAAAAATAAACACAACTAGGGTCTGTTCAGCAGAGCTTTATAATCTAGTTAGGGAGGCAAGATACAACCATAAAGAAGTTAAGTCATATTACTTAGAGTGAATGATTAAATGGCAAATAAGGGCAAATCAGAGGAAGAGCAGATAGGGATTGAAGTGAAAGAGGCCCTCCCAGGAGTTCAGTGGCAGGGAGAGGGAGGTAAGATAGACCTTGAGGCCAGGTTAAAGAAAACCAGAGGAGTGACTTTACATTTGAGTGATTATACTCTTAGACTGCCAGAAACACATGACATCTCAGCAATGCATAATTTCCCTCAGAGTTCAGAGATGCCAACTATAATTAAACCCAGATGCATATATAAAGGCACTGCTTACTATAAAAGGGGCAAAGCTCTATCCCCAATTTTAGATCTTCTAAAACTGTCCGATTTTTAACGTGAAAAATAGAGGAAAATAGAACAATCCTTAACCACAATCAATATTTACCAGACAATGATCAAAGCTGAGGAAGAAAAGACAAAGGAATCTAGTGTAGAGGTACATTAAAAAAAAAAAAAAAAAAAAAAACGAAGAAAGGTTTTCATTAATTAGTTCAAGTTCTGGGCTGCAAGAAAGTATGGAAATGGAGGAAATGCATATGCCCACCCCCATTACATACCAGAAAACAGAAATACAAAAGCCAATGGAAACAGGATGAGAAAGCAAGTAAATAAAGCAGACCAGGGTGGGAGGCAACAGGCAATGCAAGAAGTGTGACGGAAACAACATTAATATCCATAGAAAATATTAAAAATATGATATTTATTCAAACAAAACCCTGTACATAGATGTTGATGGCAGCACTATGCATAATACTCAAAAGTTAGAAACAACCAATTGTCCACAACCTATGAATGGATAAACAAAATGTGGTATGTACCCAAAACAGTGGAATATTATTTGGCCATAAAAGGAAAGAAGTACTGGTAAGTGCTCTAACACTGATGAACCTTGAAAACATTATGCTAAATGAAAGAAGTTAGACACAAAAGGTCACATTATTATATGAAATATCCAGGACAAGTAAATCCAAAGAGACAGAGAGCAGATAAGTGGGTGCCAGGGGCTACCAGGAGCAGGGAATGAGGAGTGACTGCTTAATCAGAATGGAGTTTCTTTTGGGATGATGAAAAGTTTTGGAACTAGGGGCAATGGTTGCACAACATTGCAAAGATACTAAATATCACTGAATTGTTCACTTTGAAATAGTTTTCTGTTATGTGAGTTTCACTTCAATTTTTAAAAATCTATATACAATAACAACAAAGGAAATGTGGCAAACTAGAAAGGGCACACCTTAGAACAGGCATCCATCAGCCAGTCCTTACCAAGGGCCACCATGGCAGAATGGATGCACAGTGTTGTCAGATCTTACTGTTTGAGAGAGAATGAAAACTCAGGTTTTTATGTGAAAACTCATACTGGCAAGGGGCGCCTGGGTGGCGCAGTCTGTTAAGCGTCTCTTGGTTTCGGCTCAGGTTGTGATCTCAGAGTCATGAGATTGAGCCCCGGGTCAATCTCAAGAGGGAGTGTGCTTGAGATACTCTCTCCTTCTCCCTCTGCTCCCCCTACTCATGCTCTCACACTCTCTCTCTTCTCTAAGTAAATCTTAATACATACATACATACATACATACTGACAACTACCTCAAAAAATTTAAACTGTGGCAGCCAATGAAAATATACCCAGGGCTAAATGCAGCCCACAGCCCATGGAACTTGCAACTTCTGGCATAGCCCATTCCAATTTAAATCAGACTATTTTTTAATAGTCTATAAGCTCACTATATTGTTTCATTATTTCAAATTACTAGAGATAGATTAATCAAAAGAACAATTTCGTTTGCCTAAATACATATATATATATTATATATACACAAATATAGAAGATGCTATGACAAGAAAAAGACTGTTTCTCTCCCCCAATGACACCATGAAATTGGTTTCCTTTCATGTATTTAATTCGAAATTATGCATTTTTCTCTGTGAATGATAGATACTCTGTTGAAAATATTCCAAACACAAGTTCTTCTCTCCTCAGCAAAAGCCTTATATTGAATGCAATGTAGCTGTCTGTGCACATTCATAACGTGACTTGCTTTAGTCTTGATCATTATTCACTTTGACTTTATTCTGTTTTTAAGACCTATAATAAAGTGGACTAAAGCCCTTACTTTAAATAAATTCCAGGTATTAATAACTACATTTAAATGCTCTTCTACCAAATGACAAGTTATCATGTTAGAAGAGAAAAATAGCAAAATACATGGTATTTATAAAAATAAAACAAAAAGGGAGCCTGGGTGGCTCAGTCGTCAAGCGGCTGCCTTCAGCTCAGGTCATGATCCCAGGGTCCTGGGATCGAGCCCCGCATCGGGCTCCCTGCTCCGCGGGAAGCCTGCTTCTCCCTCTCCCACTCCCCCTGCTTGTGTTCCCTCTCTTGCTGTCTCTCTGTCAAAAAATAAATAAAATCTTAAAAAAAATAAAATAAACAACAAAAAAACCCAAAGGCTCTGAATTTGTAAATATGAATTTCAGGAGCAGCATTTTTTTTTAACTTTTTATATTAAAGTAACTTTAGATTTACAAAAAAATTGAAAAACATAGTATTAAGAGTTTCCATATACCTTTCACTCATCTTTCCCTTAGCTATAACCATGGTATATTTATACAACCATTTATAAACATTTGTATAACCATGGTACATATATCAAAACTTAGAAATTAACATTGGTACAATACTATTAACTACACTGTAGAATTTATTCAGGTTTCTGTTCCAGGGACCAATCCAGGGTACTTTATTGCATTTAGTTTTTTTCTGTAAGTTCAATCTGTGATGGCTTCTCAGCCTTTCCTCATCTTTTATAACTTTGACTTGAAGAGTAGTGGTTAGGTTTTTTGTACCATGTCTCTCCGTTCAGGTTTGTCTGATGTTTTCTCATGATTAGACTGAGGTTATGGGTTTGAGGGAAGAACCCATAGAGGTGAAGTTGCAGTTCCAGTTGCATTGTATCAGGAAGTCTGTATATCAACCTGTAATATTAACCTTGATCACTTGGTTCAGGCGCCTATCTGCCAAATTTCTCTACATTCGCTTCCCTAGAAGTGAGACACTAAGTACAGACCACAGTTAATGGGAAAGGAATTAATTTCCACCTCCTGGAAGGGAGAATATCAAAACATTTATAACTATGTGAAAACCACTACAGCAGTGAATGATAGTTGGAGGGGAGACAGTTTGAACCTATGCAAATACTCTATCGTCAAAGCTTCATTGGCTGACTTTGGCATTCATCAAGGGATCTTGCCTGTAGCAGTTACTACCACGGTGTTCTAATGGTGATTTCTACTGATTTCTATTTCCCTCATTCCTTGTAGATAAGATTTGTCCCTCCCCACCCTGTACATTTATTTACTTATTTATTCAATCTTTATGGACATGAATCTATGGATATTTATTTTATCTTTTAGATTATAATCCAATGGCTTTATTTTATTACTCAAATTGTTCCAGCTTTGGCCATTAGCAGCTTCTTTTGGTTGGTCCCTGTGTCCTTCTGACATGCCTTCATCCCCTCTTCCCCCCACCTCTTTACTTTCTGATACTATAAGACACTCCAGGTTCATTTGTCTCTTTCCTGTCCCAGTCCTAAAAACAATCAGCCATTTGTCCAAGGAATCCTGGCTCCTTCTTTCGAAGACTAGCATTAAGAAAACAAGATCTTGGGTGTGCTTGTCGCTACTGGGTGCCATTGCTTCTCAGCCCTTCCAAGGAAGAGAGCTGGGAAATATGTACATTATAGTAGCCACTGCAAATACACATATCAATATTTATATCTGTACCGACCTGTTCATATAGGAAACCCTAGCCCCCACCCCATCCCACGTTATTTGTTACCTTTTTTTCTTTGACAATAAAGAACCTGGCACCAGATTCTTATCATCTACAATATATTTACATATTTGTTCAACCCTGGCAAATATGTAAAATGGTGTCAGAATTGCTAAACCGTAACTCTGAGAGAAACAAATTTGCCAGTGGTTTTGTACAGTTCTTTTTGCCTTTATCCTTACAGAATCTAGGCAAAACACTGTTTTCCTTAGTTATTTGGGTCAACTCTTTTTTTTAAAAAAAAATTTTATTTATTTGACAGAGAGAGACACAGCGAGAGAGGGAACACAAGCAGGGGGAGTGGGAGAGGGAGAAGCAGGCTTCCCGTGGAGCAGGGAGCCCTATGTGGGGCTCGATCCCAGGACCCTGGGATCATGACCTGAGCCAAAGGCAGACACTTAATGACTGAGCCACCCAGGCACCCTGGGTCAGCTCTTTTCTTTCCCATCCCCTTCAGGGAGACTATGCCCTATATTTGTAATATAGCTAGGTTCATTTGTCACAGTCTGCTTTCCATCCTGAATTTCCCTGACATCCTGGGTGTTTTGTTTTTTTGCAGGCAGTAAAAGCTATTCTTATGGTATACAATTCTATGAGTTTTGAAAAATGTAGAGAGTTATGTAATTCAACATCACAGGACCATACAGACCAGGCCCATCACCCTAAAAATCTCATTGTGCAGGGGGGCAGCATTTTTAATTACTTATCCAGACTCATGCCCCTTTAAAAATCCAATATACAATTGACTAAAATAATCATTTCTAGACTAATATTTTTTCACACTATTTTTACTTTTTTTCATCCAAAGTTCATGTTCCACTTTAAGAAATTGCTATTATTTATCAAAGTCTAAAATTCTCTCTTGAATAGATACCCAGTTCCCATTACTAACAACAAGTATGGATCAAACAAAGTACATGTGGTATCCCAGGGCAATTTCCCAACATGTCCACTTCCATTCTCCATCTAGTTATTGTGAAAACATTTCTTTTTTTCAAGATTTTATTTATTTGACAGCAGGTGGAGGGGCAGAGGGAGAGGAAGAAGCAGACTCCTCACTGAGCGGTGAGCCCAATGCAGGGCTTGATCCCAGGACCCTGAGATCATGACCTGAGCCGAAGTCAGATGCTTAACCAACTGAGCCACCCAGGCCTCCGCTAGTTATTGTGAAAACATTTCTAAGAAAAGCAGAAAAAACAGGTACAGAAATAACTTCCATAATACAAATCACAAATTTAGTATTTTTAAATTGTCCAATGCTTTGAATTTTCCATGTCACTGCAATCCTATTGGGCTGAGATTGGTAAAGGTTGACTGTAACTCTGCTCCCTTTCCCATAAAAGTTAAACAACAATTTTTCCATTTCTGCAAGCCAGAATGTTATTGCCTCCCTGAATTCTTTAATTTGAAAAGGGAATAAATGAGGGTGAGTCATTTAAAAGAAGTGGAAGTCAGAAGCCAGCCCGGTGGAAATGAGGTTAAGTCATGGTCGCTGGTTAAAATTCAGAAGGAGGCCTTTTCAAAAGCCAAGGTACAGTGGCTAGCAAGCCTAAATGAGTGACATGATTAGTCAACAGACAGGAATCCAGGAAAATGGACAATCTGCAGATTGGGCAGTCTTGGAAGCACCTAGGAATACCTCTACTCAGTCTAGTGCTCCTTAGAAGGGAAAAGCAAAACAGAATTTCTAAGACCTCTACAGGTTTTGTTCACCTCAGATTTGAGCAGGGGGAAATAGTTCTTAATCCTCAAATATATCACCTGTCATCATCATCCAAGTACCTGACAGCAGAACAATGTCTGTTAATGTGGGGTTCCATGGAGAAGCTTGAGTAGGGATAGTTTGGGGTAGGTAATAGAATGAACTATGAGAAATTGTACATAAAATTGTATGTGTATGTGCACTTACATGCATTTTTCTGAGGACAGAGTCAGTAGATTTTATCCAATTGTCAAAAGTCTCTGAGTCCCAAAAAAAGGGCAAGAACTACTTAGGTTTAGATTCTGGCGGAAGAGGTAAATTTGTCCAGTCTGATTTCTTGGAGGTTCATATTCTTCCTCAGTAGATATTGCTTCCTAGGAGCAGGCATCATATCTGAAAGGAACTTTATAGGACCCCTGCTATCTGAGCCTCTCAGAGTACTGGCCCCACGGTCACTCCCTGCTTCTTAAAATACTCCTTTCTCTGGTTTTTATAACACCACACTGGTTCTCCTACAAATCTTCTGTCTTCTGAACTGGCATCTCTTAATCACTTCATGTTTTCTGAAGGCAAGTGTTGTCCAATAGATGGGTCATCTGTCCTTTGTTTTCTGTCTATACTCTTTCCCTTGGAGGCTTCATCCACCCTTTTCTGCTGATTTCTCCAGCATGTGTTATCATTTTGTATTCCCAAAATATGCAGGGATATTTCCATTTGGGTAAATAGCATCCTCCTCAAATTTATTAAATGTAAAACAAACAAAACTTTTGTGATTGAACAAAATTACCTTTAAAAGTCCCTTCCAATATTGATATTTTATGATTCTAGCTTCTGTTAATCATAATGCCCTGCTCCAAATTACGTGGGTTCAAAATCTCACAGTAAATGAAATAAAATAATTACAAAAATTGTAATTCTAGAAAAAGAGAACAGTGAATCTAGATCCCTTAAAACAGCTAATGCCAGTGCAACATTGCAAAATTAATAAAATAAGTACACAGGGTTCTTGATAAGGAAAGAAGGATCCCAACCTGGCTGGAGTAGTGAGTCAGAGAAGGCTTTGCCGAGGTAACCACAGAGTTGAGACTTAATGGTTGCTTTTAAAACTTCAAGTTAGTTTAAAAGGGAAAGCACTACTGGAGAAGCTAAAGGCGAGGCATTCCAGAAAGAGGGGACAGAAATAATTAAAGGCATAAAAGATGGGAACAACATGGTTTTATACCAAGAACTTTCAGAAGTTGGGAACATAAGTACTTATGACTTACTTATGTACTACTCACCTTAAGTAACAGGTGAAAGATGGGATCAGGGAGATAGGACCAGATCAAAAGGTGGTCTTGTATTCCATATTAAGGTTTAAGCCCCTTAGCAGGAGAGCACACATCAGGAATGGGGGAAGGGGGCAGGGAAGAAAAGGGGTGGTGGAGAAAGTGTTTTTCAAGTTGCCCAGACTATGAGTCCTCCAATGTTCAGACACTCCTTCCCGAGGGGGAACATAACATGTCCAGATAGGTTGAAAATCACCATGTATAATACTCATTGAGGACGTGTGTTATGCTGGTGGATGCTGTGGAGGCAGGGGGAGGAAAGGGTTGAGAAGCAATGCTTTAGATGTGAGGGGCTGTGGGAGAGCTGGAAACAGAATAGTGACACAGTAAGATGTACATTTCTGGGAGGTCAACAGGTTTCTGTGGATAGGATACATATGAGGGGGAGAAGATTAGAAGCACAGAGACTAAATAGGAAGCTGGTCAGTCATCCAAGTGAGGAATGACTAAGGCCATGGTAGTTGGGATGGAGAGAAGTCAGGTTTGGAAATAAGACATCGGTTTCCAAACTTGTCTGGAATCATTTGGGAAGCTTAAAAAAAAAAAAAGCTTGTGATTTAATTAATCTGGATATGGCCTGGCCTTTGGAATTTTTAAAAGATCCCCAGATGATTCTAAAGTGCAGACACGTGGAAGGAGTCACTGGTTTAGGGAGTGAAATCAGCAGAACTCAGTTGCTGACTGGCTGGAGTTGAACATGTGGAAGAGGGATGCTGAGGATGGATGAAGCCCATGTTTCTAACACTGGACAAATCCATCAGGTGTATCTCAGTGCAGCATTACATGTTTCTTTTTGATCATTTTGTGACACTAATACTTGAGGAAAACATTAACTAGGTAGGTCATAAAGCTTTGTAACATGGGCTATGGAAGTATGTGAAAGTGTGGAGGCCATGTAAATGGGCCTGTCAGATTTACTGTCAGAAGCATAATTGACCAAGGGCCCCAGATGCAGTGCTCTGAATCTACCACTGAGTTCTAACCAAGGCTACTCTTCCCACACGTGGCTCCCAGCCCATGACTGAGTAGCAGAAACTCTAACCCAGATCCGTAACTACAAGATGTGGACTCTCTGATGGGCAACATGGTTTGGGGGCCTCATCAGCTGTGCTGAACTTTTCTTAGAACTTCACTGCAACCTAAGCCTCTTTCTTCCAGGCTTTCTTCTTTCCTTCTGTCCTCCACATGTAGGTCAGACCTACATCATGGTCTGATAGCTCTCCTGGCTCCCCTGGCTCCCTCCCCATTTCTCTTACAGGCTACTCCTCAAACAATCTCTTGAATGACTAATCCTGTCTTGGTGTCTGTTTTTCAGAGGATCCAAACTAACATACATGGTTTTAACTTTTTTTAAATTAATTTTCCTATTTGATTCTTATGAAATATGGGAAACAACTCTCCATAATTTCAGCCAAAGATAACTTAAATGAGCTTCCAAGAAGCATATTAGCAAAGCTTCAAATTGAAAGTCAAAATATGCCTGAATTTCCCACATCAAATTCATATGGAAGGTTTCTACACAATCTTAACAAAGAAACCCTTTACATTAAAAACTCCCATAAAGCATACACCTATCTGAACACTACAACTACTTTCAAAGGCCAAATGTTTTATGAAAAAATTACAAATTGGCATCATGACGAAGAAAACATGATAGTAGCATGAGTAAGTAATTCTCCTTAATTGTACAACTTGTTGGGAAATGTGTATCCTTATTTACTCTACTGTCAGGAAGTAAAAACTACTTCCATTATAAAAAGATACATAAAATATTATATAAAGCATCTTCTATGTGTCACACATTGTGCTGGGTACTTTACATGGTATATTCATCTTTGCAACCAACTTCTGGAGAAAGTATTATTAAGTCCGTTTTTTAGAAGAATAAACCAAGGCTTAGAGAGGTAGAGACTTGTCTGATTCCCATAGCATAGGGAGCAGAGCTTATATTCAAACTCAGGGAGTCTACTACTCCCCTAAGCCAGGCTGCCTCCTGGCAGAACCTGAGCATGGACCAAAGGAAGGCTTCCTCAAGTAAGTCGTGTTCGTCACAATCTAAGAGGGAGATGTTGTTGCCCTCACCATCCTTACTAGGGATAAGCAGTGACCAAGTCCTCATTCTACAAATGCAAAAACGAACCACACAGAATAACAGAAACAGTGCAGAAAGGGACCTTCATGATTGTCTAGTCTCATGTCTTCACTGGACAGCTAAATAATGGGGTGCCTGGGTGGCTAGTAGGTTAGGCGTCAGATTCTTGGTCGGATCTTGTCTTGGGGTGATGGGTTCAAGCCCCACACTGGGCTTCACACTGGGCATGGAGCCTACTTAAAAAAAAAAAAAATCCAATCTGGATAGCTAAATAAATTGGTGAGAACTTCCTCTATTTTAACATACACTTTTAAGATTTGCCTTTTAGATTTACCTATGTGGGCACTTTGCATCTCAGCCCACACCAACAGAGGAAAGCTCTGGGCTGAGGGAGTAGGAGTCATAGACAGGTAGGCGCTGTATGGTTGTTTTGGTAAATTTATTCAAACTAAAGTTGAAAACATTCCACTCCCACGGCACCAAAGAGAAACAAAGATTGCTTCCATCTCCCTCTGGCCCTCAGGTGGTTCCCAGGACCATGAAGCTGGTGGGAAGGGAGAGGCTCCTCCTTTTTTTCCAAGTTCATGTGCTAGTTCCATCAGCTTAGAGCAGGTGAATGAGAAAGGGAAAGGAGGAGGCTCTGTGGTTTCTGGGAAAGAAAAGGGCAGTGTTCCTTGCCAACTTTTTTCTCCCGCACATAAGGTACAACTTTCTCCCTATTGACAGATAATTATTTTATTTTCCCTTTCAAGTGTTCCTCCTACCCCCTTCCAATTTTAAGAGGAAATTCAAGACACTACTGCCCTTTCTGAAAAATTTTCTCTCAGGCAGACTGCCATTAACAACAGTAGGTAAATATTCACTGCAAAGGAACTTCATGTGTTTTATTTTTTCTCCAGCCCACATACGAATTTAATTTAGAATACTAATGGTCATGGTAAACACTTGAATATTATTTGCTATGTTTCCTTTTTTGAAAAAAGAAAAATTAGTTTTTAGTTTAAGTCATAAAGTGCAATTTGTTAGTGTAATGTAAACTACTCTACACTTTGTTCTTCACCTGGGCCCTGGGTAACACACTAAGTAAGTCTGTGAGAGTCCAACCTCTGAATTGCTAATTAGATCACTAGCAATTCATTTTTTAAATAAATAGTCCATCTGTAATACTTCAGACCCTGAAGCCACAGATGGTCTATTTTTAATCATCAAACTTCAAGGTTTACTTTCCCATGGAATATTTTAAGATTTTTCTGTAGAAATGGCTAAAATTCTAGAAATTTCCCTTGTAATGTTGTAGAGTGTGTCAATGTATACAATCCATCTGAAAGGCCCTTTGATTTTCAAAAGCTGTCATATAACCTATCCTTCATCTTTGAAAGAAAGGTTACATGTGAGGGGCGCCTGGATGGCTCAGTCAGTTAGGCACCCGCCTTTGGTTCAGGTCATGATCCCTGGGATCCTGGGATCAAGTCCCACATCTCGTTGGGCTCCCTGCTCAGCGGGGAGTCTGACTCTCCCTCTCCCTCTGCCCGCTGCTCCCCCTTTTTGTACTCTGTCTCTCTCTCTGCCAAATAAATAAATAAAATCTTAAGAAAAAAAAGAAAGAAAGAAAGAAAGGTTACATGTGGAATCATTCCTGTTCTAGGCCCATTCCTTCCTCTCCAGGCTCCAAAATGATTAAATGCTAAGTTTCGTTTATTCAGGGACTCAAAACTGGGTCCCAGATTAATCACTTCCGCTTGGAAGTGTTTCCTGACCCCCAACAAAGTTAGCTCCCTCCTGATGTGCCCGCATAGCTCATGCTTTAAGGTTGGTCCTGGTTTAACTCTACCTTCACTAGAATGTAAACTCTAACAGATCTAAGATCAGGTCAGTCTTGTTGACCATTCTACCCCAGAATCTAGCACTGTGCTAGAAATTCAATAAATACGAATGGAATAATCAAATAGAAGGCTTCCTTCATTCCATCTGAACCCTTATGGAGCACTTTATGTGATGGAAAACGTCTGTGCTCCCTTCCCTAAAATTCCCTCCCAGGTGGGAGCACTCTCAGTCTCATCCCCTTCCAACCTTTCCCATTGCTCTTCCAGTGGCTTCTTTCCCACTACCTTATCTTTATGTCAGTTCACTACATTCCAGCCTAGCCCATCTTCTCCCTGCCAACACATGATAGGCACTTAATAAGTATATGTTGAATGAATGAATGCCATGCTTCAAACTTTCCTGGGGAAATGTTATGGCTTTGATAATTATGTTAAACTGAGGAGGTCTAAATACCTATCGCTAAACTAAATTTCTCACCTGGGCAACAAACCAGTGTCTCCACAAGAACCCTTACGCCAACATGCTCACATCTAAACTTAGGATTTCCAATTAAACAGCAGATTAATCAAACGCAATTACCTCTGTTCGCTCCCCAACCTCTGCTAAAATGATGGCAAAGGAATTTCTTTAAGCAAAAAGAAAAAGGTACAAATCCACAAGCACAAGGAGAACAGAAGGGAATACAGTAGCTAACTACAGATTTCAGTGCATTGTTAGAAGGCAGAAAGTGGATGGAGGCAAAATAACCCAGTTAGGACAGTATGGATGTGGCATTTTTTAAATCATTTCTAAGAATACTAATGATAGTTGCATTTTTTTTCTTCTTTTCAAATTGGCTGTTCCCTCCAGGTACCTTTTTTCCTTTTCTCTTTTACTGTTTAAAGGTTTCCAAAAGCTGAAATAGATACTGCGGGGGGGGGGGGGAGGGGGTGGCTACAGAAATTGCACATGGAGACCCCGGGTACCAAGGAGAGCTCATGCCCTAGCTGGGCTGAAACACCCTGAAGTGGTAGTTCACATAATGAACAGGGAAATGCAGAGCCGCCTTCCCAAACTCTACTCAGGAAAACTGGCAGCTGGCTTATATCCCCCAGGAAGATCAGAAGATTCTTCTCTTAGAAACTGAATACCCTAAGGAGAAGACTTCCAAGTATTTGGAGGTTTCCTCAACAGCAAATAAAATCCACCATCAACAAGCCCTGCCTGTGCCCACACAGCTTCCACACAGCCTTTTTAATGCCCTATTCTTAAATCTGAACAGATTCATAGTATGAACATAAATGTCAGACAGGGATCTGAGGATCGAAAAAGAGAAAATGAAGGGAAAAAAGGCACCTGGAGGAAACACAGCCAATTAAGAAGGGGAAAAATGCAATTAATGTCCTTAGAGATGAGAAAAGATATTACATCCATAAAATAAGTATAGGATGCTATGAAAAAGAATAAACAGAAGAAAGAGAGCATGCTTGGAATTTAAAATGAGGTAGCCATAAAAACCTTACCCAAGAGTTAGAAGATGACATCAAAGAAATCTTGGTCCCTTTCCTGGAGGGGGTGGGGGGTGGGGCGGGACAGAGATTCAAGGGAAAAAAAACCTTAAAAAAAGATTAGAGAATTGATTCAGGAACACTAACAACTGCCTAAACAAACTGCAGAAAAAAGGAACAGAGAATGCTGTGGGGAGGAAATTATCAAAGAAATAATACAAGTAAATATTCCCCCAGGGACAGGACCATGAAGGTAGTGAGAAGTTAGCTCTGAAACAACCCTTTCCAATTCTACTCTGGATAGATTTTTCACACACTCCTCCTCTCTATACCTACTGTCCTCATCTGATCCTGTCACCTCTCTGAGGACTGGTTCCACAATATCATTACTGGTGGCTCTGTCTTTGGTCTCTACTCCCTGCCCACCCTGCCCAAACCATCCTGCTATTGCCATGCTTTTAAAAGCTTTGCATGCCTGCAGTGGACTGATAATGCTCTCTCTTTACAGCGCCCCCCCTTTCAGGGTACACCTCAAGGCTTGGAGTCAATGGGTAGGTGTTTTCCCTACCTACCCTAATCCCCAATGCCACTTTCAAACCACTTTATCTCCTAACCCCTTCAAAACTCCCAGCTCTTCTGAATATGTCATCTGAACACACTAGCCAATACTGCTCTTTTTGACTGTCATATGGTTAAGTTACCCTAGTTACTGAAATCCCAGCACCCAGCTCACTATCTTCTCTCTACCATTACTGTCATAATTCCTGGCAATTTGAATATCCATATAAAAAAAGTCTCCCCAAATCCTGGCCTGTTGTTTTCTTAATTTTCTCAATTCCATCAATATACTCCATGTGGACCACCCACTGCCATGGTCATAGTCAAGATCTTGTCACCACCATCATCTGACTACAAGCTCCTACCTCTCCAGCTTCCCTCAAGAACCTCCAACCCAACATTCTGCAAGAGCACTGGAAACACTCATCAACTGAAAACTTCTTCCTCACCATCCACCATCCATGGTTAAATACCATGTTTCAGGGCACCTGGGTGGCTCAGTTGGTTAAGCGACTGCCTTCAGCTCAGGTCATGATCCTGGAGTCCCGGGATCGAGTCCCGCATCGGGCTCCCTGCTCAGCAGGGAGTCTGCTTCTCCTTCTGACCCTCCCCCCTCTCATGCTCTCTCTATCTCATTGTCTCTCTCAAATAAATAAATAAAATCTTAAAAAAAAAAAAATACCATGTTTCAGTGCTATAATCACTCCCTGGAAAACACTCTTTAAATGCTTTGTTCTTTCTCCCTCCATTCTATTTGCTCTACTTGTCCAACCCTAATAAAGTCTTACTCTGCTCCTAATCCCAAGTAGCTAAACTTCTCCCTAGAAATGGAATAAAATAGACAGAGTTCTGCTAATTGGTCCAAAATTGGACCAAAAATATCAAATGGCAAACAACACTGCCCATCAAGTCCTATTAATTTCTCTGGTACATTTGTTCTCCCCTTGGCAAGATGCTCATTCTCTATTACCTCTCCGTTATCTCTCCTACTTGAGGTAACTTCTTGTATCCCTCTACTTGCTTCCCTTTCATACTTGATTGAAAACCCAGAAGCTATCAGAGAAGAACTACCTCTCTCACCCTCCTACCACCAATGCATTAATCCAGCTACATATGAACCAATACACTGTGTTTTCTCTGGTCAGCAGGGAGGAAAATTCCTTGCTTCTACATAAGCCATTTAAGAATTGCATTCCTAAAACCATCCTTGATCTCTCCTTACTCTTCAAAGCCCCCTCTTTTACCCGGATCATCAACATCAGCACAGAAACATGTTTAAGATCACCCATCTTAAGCAAAACAATGTCCTTGACCTATGTTCTCTGCCAGCTCCCATCCCATATATCTCCTCTCCACAAAACTTCTCTCAGGAGTTGTCTTGACGTATAATCTACACATTCTCACTTGCCATTCTCTCAACTTACTTTGATTGTGGTTTCATACTACTTTTTCTTATCATACATATTATATAGGAGGGAAACAGAATATGGTTGTTGGACTTCGACCTCCTGAGTTCCAATCCCTGTTCTGTGACTCACTAGGTATAAAATAAGCAGCATAACTTGTCTGTCTCAATTTCCTCAGCTATAAAATGGGGATAACAAAAGTAACTGTCTCATAGGGTTCTTGTGAGGACTAAAAAAGTTAGCACACACAAAAGCACACAGAATACTGTTAGCAATACACAAAGTTTTCAATATTGAGGTCAATAATGGCCTTCCTTCATCTTACCACGGCCATTTATGAAGGCTCTTTCCAGCTCTTCCTTATCTCTCAAGCAGCACTGAACAGACTTCCTAGCTCCTTGCTTCAAACACTTCCCATGTCTTTTGGGACGTCATACCCCACTGGGTTTCCTTCGACTTCACCGAATGCTCCTTTGCAGGATCCTTGCTGGCTGTTCAATTTCTAAATATTGGGATACTGAGCCCTCTCTTTTTACTACCTAAACCCTCCCTAGGTAACCTCCCTATGCTTTTAAATACCACCTACGTACTGATGTTGCTTAAATTTATATCTCCAATCCTGGCTGCCCCCTGAGCATCAGGCACAAATATCTAACTGCCCTCTCCACCAGGTTATTAAGTTGGTACTGTAAACCAGTCAGAATCCTTAAGGACTCCTCTCTCCTCATCTCAGCCATGCATCTGCTCCTACCACATCTTCTGATTTCTATAATAGTTATCATCATTCACCCAGTTATCAGGCCTAAAAACTAGAAGTCGTATCTGATTTTTCCTCCTTCCCTCAACCTGACATCCAAATGTTAGCAGTCCTGCTTGTCCCACTGCCAAAATATATCCCAAATCCATCTCTACTTCCTACCATGCTGCTGCCGCCACCTTACTCCAAACTATCATGATTTTTTCCTGCATACTGCAAAATCCTCCCCATGAGTTTCCCTGTCTTGATTCTTTGTCCCCAACAAGCTAATTTCCTCACAGCAGCCAGAGTAATCTCCAAGTATAAATCAGATCACATCAATTCCCTCCTTAAAACCTTCCAGATGCTTCGTAATACAATTTGAATAAAATTTGAACTAGTGAACTCAGGATATGTGATCTGACCCTCCAACCTTAACTCCTACTACTTTCCCCATCACTTGCTCCACGCCAGGCACACTGGCCTTTTTTCAAACATAGCAAATTCATTTCTTTCTTTCTTTTTTCTTTATAGATTTATTTGAGACAGAGAACACAAGGAGGGAGGGGGGGGAGGGGTGGGCAAAGGGAGAAGCAGACTCCCTGCTGAGCAGAGAGCCCATTGTGGGGCCCAATCCCAGGACCCCAAGATCACAACCTGAGCTGAAGGCAGATGCCCAACCGACTGAGCCACCCAGGTGCCCCGCAAATTCATTTCTGCTTTAGGGCCTCTCTACTGGCTGTTCCCTCTGACAGGGAATCTCTTTCCCCAGATTTTAGGAAGGCTAAGCTGCATGTTACCACCTCAGGGAAGCCCATCCATCTAAAGTAGCACTTCCTCCTCCACCCAGTTACAACTTAGCCCAATATTCTATCTTATTTTCTTTATAGCATCCAGAGCCAAATAAAATGCTGTTTGTTTACATGTTTAATATGTTTCCTATCACTGTCACATAAGATCGCACGAGGGTGAAGGGGGCCCTCTTATTCACAGATGAACTCCAGCACCTAGCCCACAGTAGGTATTCAATAAGTATTAACTGAATCAATCTGAAGAAAACGAACAGTATTCACTTTTTACTTTTAGCCTAGGGGTAAATGAGCACTGACAAGTACTGACAAGTTAACTTACTGTTGGTATATCCTCAGTCAAGACCAGTACATTAACCGAAGTCAGTTATTATATAAATCGATTATCACTAAAGAAAAAGAATATTGGTACATCTTATCAGAATTATCATACAAAAAAGAAACAAACTTGCATTTTTAGGTACTTCCACTTACTATTTTGTAACCCCATGTTAAGTTTTAAATTAGATAAGGTACTGAACACTGAAAAAAAACAAGGCATCTTCCAGACACGTAGATATACAGCCAGGACTCACAGACTCAGATCTACAATACCTGTGTTCTTTCTATCAGATCATGATTTTGTTGACATTATGGGCTATCCAGATATTTCAGAGCACTTCCAATCACAGTGGTAGTAGAAGTCAGAGATATTTTAAAAACCTCAACAGAAATTTCAAATGTTATGGTTTGTAATGCCTAAAATATCAAGTACCCTGATATCAAGAAAAATGGATTCAGGTTTAAAACACTAATCTCCTGGTAATCAGGTATGTTGATGGAAGTTTTTGATTAATAAAATGGGATTTTAATAATAAATGAGTTTGGTAGTCAAAATCTTTTTATAATGGATCACTGGAGTAGTAAAACAGGACATCACACATCCATAAGATTAAGTCCAAATTCTGCAGCATACACAGAGCCTTTTTACTCTGACCCCCACTCTCTCCCAGCTACTTCTCTCTGCATGTCCATGAGTATGGTCAGCCTCATGACCATTTGGAAAATCCCTGTCTATATTTTATGAGCTCAAATGTCACCTCCTCTTTGTAGACGTTCTTAATCCCTTCACAGGCTGAACTCTCTCTCCCCTATGTTCCCAGATGAACTTTGAACTTGATTTTAAGCTTCCTATTATAGTATTTAGTCTGTTACAGGTTTTCCTGGCTAGGCTATAAATGTTGACTGAATTAAAGAAATATGCCATTTAAATTCCTATATCAATATGCAAAACATCTGTCACAGAGTAAATGTTCGATTATAGTAGTCCCCCCCCTTATCTGTGGGGATACGTTCCAAGACCCCTCTCTGGTGGACACCTGAAACCACAGATAGTACCAAACCCTATATATACTGTTTTTCCCTATACATACACACCTATGATGAAGTTTAATTTCTAAATTAAGCACAGTAAGAGATTAACAATACAGAACAATTATAATAATATACTGTAATAAGTTATGTGAATGTGGTCTCTCTCTCAAAATACTTATTGTACTGTACTTACCCTTCTTTGGGACTATGGTTGACCACGGGTAACTAAATCCACCGAAATCAAAACCACAGATAAGGGGGGACTATTGTAATATTGGTCAAACTAAGTAATTATTGACTGAACAAAAAGTCTGATTAGAATTAGAGTTATAGTTAAAAGTTGCCTAAATGACTTAATCTATGTGTAAAATTGAAGGTTTCTTAAATACAAACATATATAAAACCTCCAGGAATTCAGGCCTATGTATGCTTTGTTTTTAACCAACTTTATTGCTACTCTGGCTAACTGTACATTTTTCCTACACAGGTGAATCTGTTCAAGGGAATGATCACCTGGAAATATCATTGTGTCTAAGAGGTTCTGAGAAGGATGGTCAAGCCTCTAAATCTCACCAATATTCTGACCCAATGAACCCTACTGAATCCTCCCAAACTGTTCTCTGCTTAGAAGTGAATTTTCCTAGATCTCTGATGACAAGAATACCCTTCAAAGATCCTACTGCTGTTTCTTTGCGTGGGTCATCACCATTGCACATTCATCACCAGAAACTAGACAGATGACAAACCTAGCAGAAACATGGAATATGCTCTACACAGGTATCATTTTTAAATGAACTTACTGAACTTTATATTGCCACAACAAATCTTCATTTCTTGATGGTTCCTAAAAAAAGATACAGACTTTTAAAATTTAGTAAAAAGTGCTGAGTGTTATTTTAGTAATCCTTTGAACTACTTTCCTTAATATGTATTTACTAATAAGATCTCAGCTTCAATAAAATACCACTGAACCTTTAACATTAAAAAATAATGTACTGATAATCTTAATTTCAAAATTAACCATCTAATTGTACAAAGTTTAGCAAAATATTATTAGTGTCTCAAGATTGCTACATACCAATCTAAGATCCAGAGCATATAACAATGTTTTAAAATTTCCCTTTCAAAAACTCAACCCTCATTTCTTTGTTATAAAACATGCCTCTAGTTAGTTATTTAAAAATATTTACAAAGGAAAAATACACCAAAAGTTATCAACAAAGACTGTTTTTGATTTCTGTAGGAGTCTAACCCATTTAAATTCTTCTAAGAGTTATCTTGAGTATGCAGTTTAGAAATGCTTGTTTGAACAATTTAAGCTTAATCTTACTATGTTCATAAACACAAACACAGAGTATGAAAGAACACAACACAAATTGTTGGTTTTATTGGTATTACAATGTAGTTTTAATACAAGCTAAATATAAACACAATTGTTAGATTTTCAGTCACTTATCCTGTGAAACAAAATGCCAAGATCAACCTTGAAGGACTTATAAAAATGAAAATGTATAAAGCATTTTCTTCAATTAGCTCTAAGGACAACATATACAAATGCAAAAATGTGAAAGTGTCAATAATCACATCAAATGTTGAGCTGTTGACTGAGGAGTAAAAAATGATTCTACTTTTAAAATTAAATAGCTTCAGGTAAAAGCATGCAATTTCCCACACCCACTATCTTTGTATTCTGCACAGAGTTCCAAGGCAAAGATTGCTTCTGGCTTTCTGAACCACCAGAGAGGATGATGACCTGTGTGGCTGACTTATCACAGGCCTTTTAGTCTTCTTTCCTGATAGGTCCTTAGCTTCTTTGGAAGGAGGCATATGAATGGGTTTCCATGGAATTGGATTATAAAAGGCTGGTTCTGGATAAGAATTTCCACTGTAAAAATCTAAAATTATTAAAAAGTCAGAACAAAACAAAACAAGAAAAAACTTCTTGAGATCAAAGAAACTACTTATTTTTAAATTTCTAGAAAAATGTTATAGTATCAAAAGGGCAAAATATCACTGACAAGCCAATTTAATCCATTTAAAATTTGAACTCTAACATATTTTCAAACAAGTAACATTTTTCAAATACAATAAGTATTGCAGTGAAAATTAAAATATAAATGATAATTCTATAAGTCCAAAGAGTGTTGTCAAAATCTATATAAATAAAAACTCATATAAAATTTTTATTAAGAAATTACTTTTAGAACCCTTAAACTGGGACGCCTGGGTGGCTCAGTCATTAAGCGTCTGCCTTCAGCTCAGGTCATGATCCCAGGGTCCTGGGATCAAGCCCCACATCGGGCTCCCTGCTCAGCCGGGAGCCTGCTTCTCCCTCTCCCACTCCCCCTGCTTGTGTTCCCCCTCTCGCTGTGTCTCTCTCTGTCAAATAAATAAATAAAATCTTTAAAAAAAAAAGAACCCTTAAACTGATTAAAATCTTCATTTTCTCAACTCAATCTAGGAAACCACTGATTGTGTACTAGTTTTCCCTAGTCAGACACTGAACTTTAGAGAAAAAAAAGGTACACTGCATTACAGCTAAAGTGAATCAAAACTCTTGTTCAGAATCACTGGAATTCTAAATTATTATCAATCAAATTAATCAATTTCATAATATCACTGTAATTTTGATTATTAAGAGCAGTAGAGCATTTGCAGACAAATGTTTATTAGAACAAAACTCATTAAAAATGCAAAAAACTTAATAAAACAATCCATTATTGTAGCAAAAAACTTCTAGTCACTATGTATCTTCCCACCTAATGTTTTAACTTTACTAATCAATTGTTTGGTTAAAACCACTGCTTATTCCTCTTTTTTTTCAAACAGAAAAAGAGAAGAGAAAGGAGCAGACCATGCCTAGTGCCTAGTAGCTGTAATGGATGACTTTTGTGACACGTAGGAGAGGCCTAAACCCTGACAGCAGGAATGTCGTTCAGACACTGGCAACCCACTTTGACTGCATAGATATGTCAACACACACTTCACCAAGATGGTCAAAACAAAGTCTGGAATATGTTCTATTGTGTGAACAGAACAGAATGGGAGTATTTTTAATAATAAATCACTTAAACAAGTAGAGGCAGCTGTCAGCAAGGTATGAGCTTCCAACATGAAGTACAAAGAAAAACATGCACTGCCATTTATAATTAGAGCAAGCCTAAAGGCCAACCGGTTTTTTGTCGGGTTCATGTGCTGCCTAGTATTCCACCCAGCAAAAGGAATGTGCCAAAGACATCGGAAGCTCTGCCTAAGAGATGGTCAGAAGAAGGGGAGGAAAAATGACCTCTTAAATATATCCTCATTAAGGCTTCAAAAACCAAAAACATAAGAAAGTTCTATGTGTTTCTTAATGGCAGAAATCACTACTTTGCAGTTTTGCAACTACTGCCTTTAAAATATGTCTGATTTATAAAAGAATGACAAAAAATTTGTAGTATCTCTATAGGAATACAGTGTGTTACCATCTTCCAGAAAATAGTAATTTGAAAGAAAAATGATTTACACATTTCTATTTCTGTCAAAAGGAAACATAATGTATAATATTTGCTCCTGCAAGCCATATTTATGTAAGCCACATAACATAAAAACCAACCTGTAAGTTTTCCATTGGCATAACCATAGCTCTTTGCAGCTGGACGAGGTTTATTTTTTGCGTTTTCCAACCATTCCTTAAACCTTTTCTCTGCTATTTCCTTTTTTTCCTGTAATTCAGCTTGCCGTTGTTTTTCTTTTTCCTTAAAATGACAAGACCAAAAAATCTCTAGTGATGTTCTATAACCAAAAATTCTATTCTAATTCCACTGACTCTTTTCCCCAATAGCTTCCCACCCCAATGCCTTACTAATCATAAATACTAAATCATATTTCTATAATTTGATAACAAAATTAAACATGATCAGGGATGTAATCTAAAGGTGGCTGCTTCTAAACAACGGTAAGACACCAAACCCAAGAAGAAAAAAAGCAATTCACTGTTTTAAAATAGACAGTAATTTACAATGTAGTAAGACTTTCATAAAAGTGCATCAAAAGATATTTAAAAGCATAAACCATGAAAAAAAGTTTGAACCTGACTGAAAATACATCAATAGGCTTATAAATATTTCTCAACCTAAGAAAACCACAAATGCATATTCATTTCTGAAACTTCCACATAGTATAAATAAGTAGGGATAGCTTCATGTATTTATTTTATGCTAAGGTGCTGCCAATTTTCTATTAGAAACTTTTTATACAATATAGTTGGCACATATGAACACTAAAGCCATATATTCCAACTGGTCACTTTAATAAAAATACCTTTTCTTTCTTCTTCTTTTCACATTCTTCAGCATTTTTCTTCTTTAACCATTCTTGGTATTTTTCTTTTGCCTTTTCTTGCAAATGTTCTTTCTCCAATTCCTTTGCTGCTTTTTCCTCCATTTCCTTGTTAATTTTTTGTTCCCTTTCCTTTCTTTTCTTAAATAAAAAATGAAGGAATTTTAATTGGAATATCTGTAATTATGCCCATATAAGCAAGGAGTATTATATGCAGCAATTTTCTATACTTCAGTTATTTCTTAAAAAAGGTGGTAACATAGTGGTTGACACAATGTAGCTTATGAAAATATATAACACACCTGCAATCCCCTGGTCAATTTTAGTCTACCAGCTTTGCTGTAAGTTTCATGATGACAGTAACAAAGACCTTGCCCACCAAAGTATACTCAGAGCCTGTGCCACTGCTAAGTAAACAGTAGGTGCTCCATAAAGATTTGCTGATTAATGAACAGAAATTACAACCTGTTAGATTGTTCTGAATCTTGTATTTTTTAGTAGATGTTTACCTTCACTCTAAAATAGGAGCCATACATTTCCTGACAGTTTGCCAATACAAATACTTAGATACAATCTTTGCCATCTGTGAGCTACAGAGGACAAAAAAATAACATTTTGGACCATTAAATACTGTTATAAGGGCACATACAGACAAATCTCTAGTTATAATTCTTATAAGTCCTACATAGACCAGAGGTTGGCAAACTATGGTCCCCAGACCAAATATGGTCCTGTATTTGTAAATAAAGTTTTATTGAAATGTGGCCAAATCCATTTATTTATAGATTTGTTGTCTATGGCTGTTTTTGCACCACAACAGCAAAGTTGAAGAGCTACAACAGAAACTGTATGGCCTGCAAAGCCTAAACTATTTATCTGGCCCTTTACAGAAAAAATTTGTCTATGGTTCGATGTTTTTTTCCTTTTCATTCAGAAGATAATTTACCAACCCAGCTACATTCTAAATAAACCAATAACATGGCTTACTCTCCTTATCAAAGGTTTAGAAAATAATCTGCAAGGCATAAGTGTAAGCAGTACAAATGCCAGATGCATTACCCTTCACGGAGCAAAAGAAATATGACCGAAGAAAAAAATTCCTCCCCTGAAAGCATCTTGTAGAATACTTCAATATAAGCAATTCAAGTAACACCCAAGTAATAAACATCAGTTACATACAATATACGCCAGATACTACGCAGGAAAGACAGGTCTTAAAATTCAAAGCCCGGAGCGCCTGGGTGGCTCAGTCAGTTGAGCGACCAACTCTTTAGTTTCGGCTTAGGTCATGATCTCAGGGTCGTGAGATCGAGCCCCATGTGGGGCTCCGCTGCTTCTCTCCCTCTCCCTCTGCCCCTACCCCCTGCTCTCTCTCTTGCGTGCAATCTCTCTCTAAAATAAATAAATCTTAAAAAAAAAAAAAAAAACAAAGCCAAGTCGGTCCCCAAGATGCTATGTGTACTTCTGTCTTGCTGGGCAGCCAACAGCTGCAAAAAGAAATCCTTTCTTGCTGAGAACCCAATCCATTAAAACAATACTGGATTTTACTTCATACTGTCAGAAAAGCTACAAGATTAAAAAGGATCTTGTAGTACATCTTGCTCACTGACTCATGAGACTCCTTCACAACCCTCATCAACAAGGAGTCATCCAGTCCCTACATCGTCTTTAATTATAATAGCTAACATTTATTGAGTGCTGACTCTTTCTATTATTTCTGTATATACTTTATACATGTGTACCAAGTCAATTCTTATAACCACAATATGAGGTAGGCACTATTATAATCTCAATTTACAAACGAGGAAATGAGGCACAAAGAAGTTAAGTCATTTGCCTAAAGTCACACAGATTTGGTAAGTGGCAGATCAAAGATCGTACAGACATTGGAATGAATGTTAAAAATAATTTTATGTCGGGGCACCTGGGTGGCTCAGTCGTTAAGCGGCTGCCTTTGGCTCAGGTCATGATCCCAGGGTCCTGGGATCGAGGCCCGCATTGGGCTCCCTGCTCAGCGGGAAGCCTGCTTCTCCCTCTCCCACTCCCCCTGCTTGTGTTCCCTCTCTCACTGTCTCTCTGTCAAATAAATAAATAAAATATTTAAAAAAAAATTTATGTCAATTAATTCAATTTAAATAAAATTAAATTAATAAAATTCCTTAAAATATATTTTTCCAAAACTGATTCAAAAAAGAAAATAGAGTATCTGAATAACACTTTACTTGTAAAGATAATTCTGAAATTAAAACTTTCCCACAAAGAAAACCCCAGGCTCTAATAGCTTCACTGCCAGATTTCATCACATATTTAAGAAATAATACCAATTACTACACAAAGTATTTCAGAAAATACAGAAAAAAGGAACACATCCAAACTCATTTTAAGAGCCCAGTATTATTCTGATATCAAAACCAGGCATGGAAGTCATAATATACTAACAGGAATAATGCAAGATAACTGTTCTCATCATCAAAAACATGAAATTCTTAGGTATCCATTTAACAAAAGATGTATAATACCACTGTACCTTGAAAACTAAAAAACATTACTGAAATTAAACATGACCTAAATAAACAGAAAGAAAAATCATGTTTATAGATTTAAAATTTGATATTACTAAGATAGCAATTTTCTCCAAAATGATCTATATATTTAATGAAATCACAATAGTGTCAGGCATTATTAAAGCAAACGTGATCAGAGAAATTCATAAGCTGATTCTAAATTGTATATGGAAAGACACAGAGTAACTAAAAACAATTCTGAAAGAGAAGAAAAAAATGGAAGATTTACACTATCTAATTAGAAGAATTATAAATTCAATAATTATAAAACTATAGTAACAGGTTAGTGTGGTACTGGCACAGGACTAGATCAAAGGGAGAAAAAAGAGTCCGGAAATAGACCCATACTTATACGGTCAATTGATTTTAAACAAAAGTGCCAAGGTAATTAAATAGGGAAAAGATTATCTTTTCAACAAACAGTGTTAGAACAATTGGACATCCATATGCCAAAAAAAAAAGAAAAAAATGAACCTTGACCCTTAACTCATACCACACATTAAAATTAACTCAAAATACACATACAGGTAAAAACTAAAGTTCTACAACTTCCCAAAGAAAACAATGGAGAATATTTTTACACATATGGTGTAGGCAAATGTTTCTTAAATAGGACACAAAACTCACAAGCTACAAACAAAATTTTTAAATATGGAACTTTATCAAAATTTAAAACTTCTCTTTAAAAAAATTACCATTAAGGAAAATTAAATGGGAAGAAATACCTGGAATACATACATGTGATAGGACTTAAAGGAATATATAAAGAAATCGTACAACTTATGAATAAGACATACAATTCTTCCACAAAATGGGCAAAAATTTAAGCACAAAACAAAACAGGAAATGAGATGTAGAAATGGTTGATAGTGTTATAGACAGAATCGTGTTGCCCAAAATTCTTATGTTGAAGCCTTAACCCTCAAAGTGACTATATTTGGAGAGAGGACCTTTAAAGAGGTAATGAAGGTGATTAAAATCCTAAGGGTAGGGCCCTAATCCCATAGGACTGGTGTCCTTATAAGAGAAAGAAGAGACATCGGGGATATTCATGCAGAGAGAAGGACATGTGACGGTATGCAGGGAAGGCATCCATCTTGCAAGCCAAAAAGAGAGGCCTCAGGAGAAGCCTTTGCTGATAACCAGCATTTTAGACTTCTGGCCTCCAAAACTATAAGAAAATAAATTTCTGTTGTTTAAGCCACCCATTCTGTGGTATTTTGTTATGGCAGCCCTAGTAGATTAATACAACAAGCTTATGAAAAGATGCTAAATATCATTAGATCTCAGGGAAATGAAAATTAAAACAGCAATGACATACCACCACATAGCCACTAGAAGGACTTAAACTGAAAAAGACTTGACAATATCAAGTTTGGCAAGGCTGTGGTGCAACTGGAACTTTCATACAATAGTGGTGAAAATGTAAAATGATACAAGCACATTAAAAAAGTTTGGCAGTTTCTTTTAAACACATACTTACCATACAACCTGGCAATTCAGTTCCTAAGCATTTACCCAAAAAATGAAAACAAATGTCCACAGCACGACTTGTACATAAGTGGTCATAAAATTTTATTCGTAATACCCCAAAACTGAAAACAACCATTTTTCCAACAACTGGTAAATGGATATACAATTTGTGGTACTGCACAGAATAGACTACTACTCAACAATAAAAAGGTTCAGTCTTAATACTAGGAAATTTTAAAAACAAAAGAGGCCCAACTCAAAAGAATATATATTGTACGATTCCATTTATATGAAATTCTAGAAAAGGTAAATCTAATCCACAGAAACAGAAAGCAGACTAATGGTTTCCTTGGAGCTGGGACTAGTTGGGGGTAGGGAACAGGGGTTGAATGCCAAGGGACACAGGGAAGTTTTTGGAGTGACAGAAATATTCTATATCTTGACTGTGGTGCTGTTTATTACATAGGTACATAACTTTGTCAAACCTCATCCAAATTAAGATAGGTTTATTTTATTGTATGTAAATTATAGCTCAATGAAGTTTCTTTTATTTTTTATTTATTTATTTATTTATTTTTTTAAAGATTTTATTTATTTATTTGAGAGAGAGAGACAGAGAGAGAGAGCATGAGAGGGGGGATGGTCAGGAGGGTCAGAGGGAGAAGCAGACTCCCTGCCAAGCAGGGAGCCCGATGCGGGACTCGATCCAGGGACTCCAGGATCATGACCTGAGCCAAAGGCAGTTCCTTAACCAACTGAGCCACCCAGGCGCCCCTGAAGTTTCTTTTAAAACATCAAAAAGACTTTCTGTAGAATTCAAGCTGGAGAAGAGAGAACGGAATGCCTTTAGTTAGCACAAGGAGAAGAGAGCAGGCACTCAGAGGGATGCACTAAGATAGAACGGACAGCTACTAAGTGGCTTCAGATTTTCTGGCACTCCAGTTCTATACCACACAGAGCACAACAATAAATCTTCCTTTTTTTAAGATGGGGCCCTGATAGAACCTTTGTTTCTTGCAACTGAAGGAAACTAACAAAATAACTGGCTACTTAAAGTTTCTGAACTTCTATTTTGGTTCCTTCAGTAGTATCTGGAACATAGCAAAAGTGTTGAATGCGTGAATGATGCATTGGGTAACAGTGTTATCATATGCTTTATCAATCTGAATTAATTTTTACACTGAAAAATCAGTTCCATGTTTTGAGAATTAAAAGTAATTTTATTTTTAACTATTTTTTAAAACAATGAAGGTAAATAAGGCCCTTTCACAACACGTGTGGTAACACACTGTAAAAAAAAAAAAATGAATTAGTATGGCCACACAAATGTAAGAGTACCAGATGAGATAAGCCATTTATTTGAAAAGGATTTAACAATTTAGTGTCAGAAGAAACCAACTTTGCTAATGGATACATAAATTCTTTTTGTCTGATTTTTTGATAGAACACAGCGAAAATGACTTAGAGAAAATTATGTGCCAGATATAGCTAAAATGTGAATGAAGCAAGAGGCAGCAGGGACCACACACCATGAAATGTAAACAGAGATGCCAGACGGGAAGAGAAGAACCAGGAGAGCAGTCTTTACAAAGAGAGGTAAATCTAACTGAGACTGAAAGAAGAAATCTGATAGGTCTGAAAGAAAAAAAAACATAGAGTAATCAATTATTCCTTAACTTGTACAAGAGTTCTGCAGAATAAATAAATTTAATTTCTCAGAGCTTATTTTTGAACCATTCTCATACTTATGGAATCTTGCTTTCAATAATTGGTGATTTATGTCAGGACAAACCATTTCCGTCCAAAAGAAAAAAAGTTTTTTTTCTCAAATAACTGGATTAGATCTACTGACACTAATTAAAATAAAGACTATATCATCTCTCAGCAGTATCTTACATTCTTAGACAAATAACAACTATGTTTGACTGGCATGGTAAAATGAGCTTAATGGAGTTAGAAGATAAGAGAAGCTTTTAGAGGAGAGAGCATACTATTCCGTACATGTAAAACTGTTTTGTTTTATAGCTATAAACTACACAAAATATCACAAAGACCTTGCAAATAGTCACACAGACTTATTCTGATTTGGGTACTGATTCACAAAGAACTTTCTTATTGTATTATGGAATGAAGCAAACTTAAAAATAATAATGATTTACTTGTGAAATTAAGAACAAATACATCTATGGTTATAACACACATCTGTCCAGCCAATTTTCTTCTTACAATACCTGGATGACAGAAGCTATGTCATCTTCAACTTACTGAAATTATTGACCACTCTTACTAATGCCACTGAGCATTAGATTCAATAATAGTTAAGGACAATTAGAATTAAAAATTTAAAACTCTGTCTTATAATCTAAACATCTGACTAAACTCATAAAATTGGATCAAATAATAAAAGCAGTATCATTCTAAATATGTGAAAATTACAATAGAAAACAGATAAAAAGATAAGTATTTTCAAAATTTCTAATTTGTAATCCAATAAAAGAATGTATTAAAACTGAAAGATAACAGATTTATTCATTCATTCCAATAACAAATGCTTACTGATCTTGTAATAGAGAAAAAGTAATATAAAAAATAATTCTTACCCTTAACTGTCTTAAAATTACAAGGAAGTAAAGACATACGCATAATCCAAAATAGCCACAAAACATATACAAAATACAAAGTGATATAAATTGAACCAGGATTCAGAGAAGGAAAGAGTTTCTATTTCTAGCATGTGATCAGTGAATGATTCATGTAGAAAATACTTTGAATTGGATAATAAAGGGAAAGGTAAGGTGGACGATATGATGAGATTCCATGCTGATGAAGTAGAATATAAAAAAATAAGGAAGTGAGAAACAAAATGGAAATGTTCTCAAAATTTCTCATGACTACATATCCTGGGGAGTGGGGAGCACAGTCTATTGCTTGGGATTTCTCTGAAATCTACTGTGTATCTTAAAAATAATATAAAATTTATATTCTATCCCCATTAAATATCTATGCTTGCTTTAACATGAAAATAACATTTTTCCTCGCAAAAATTTTCAGTAAAACTAATACTCTAGGAAGATGGACCACGATTATCCTATGTGTGCTCCCAAAAGAATGCCAGTAAGAAGCAACAGCGTAAATGCAATATATGTTAAGAAAAAAAAGAAGAAGAAGAAGATAGCAGGAGGGGAAGAATGAAGCGGGGGAAATCGGGAGGGGTAGACGAACCATGAGAGACGATGGACTCTGAAAAACAAACTGAGGGTTCTAGAGGGGAGGGGGTTGGGAGGATGGGTTAGCCTGGTGGTGGGTATTGAGGAGGGCACGTTCTGCATGGAGCACTGGGTGTTATGCACAAACAATGAATCATGGAACACTTCATCTAAAACTAATGATGTAATGTATGGGGATTAACATAAGAATAAAAAAAAAAAAAAAAAAGAAGCAACAGCGTAAGATGAAGAGAACCACAGGTGGAAGAAGACATGGCTCAGAGAGCAGACTAGCAGATCTTTAACCAGCCAGGCTAGAATTGTTAAAACATTATTTAGAGGACAGTAGGGAATCATAAAAAATATATTTTGAATTGGGGAATGACATTGGACTTTTTCAGCAAAATCAGTCTGGCAAAGCCACAGAGGATGGATTCATTCACTCAACAAATATTTTTGGGCATCTACTATGTGTCAGGCACTGATCCAGCTGCTGGAGAACTGAATAAAAGAGACAAAACTCTCTGCTCTTATGGAGCTTACATCCAGTATGGGGAAATAAACAGTAAATAAGTTGAAAGATGTAATGAGACCAGACAGGAAGAGACTGCAAACAGGAGAGTGGTGACAACAGAGGAAAGGTGATGTCAGGGGAAGTCACAAACAACAGAATAACTCTGATTATGCCTAGGTGACTGAGATGACAGTAGTACCAATAACAGAAATCAAAGGAGAATGGGCAAAAATGGGTTGTTATAGATTTGCAGGCTCAGAGGTGCCTGCCAACCTAAGAGATGGAAGTCCAAGACCCCAGGAAGTCAGGCCGAGATACAGACTCCATGACTACCTGCAGCAAGATACAAGGAAGCCACGTGAGGGAAAAGGGAGAGAAGCAGAGAACAAAGGGTAGAAGACTGAGACTTGATAAATGTCCATGAAGGCAGGGGAAAAAAAAATCAGGTCAAAGAATGAATCTCAGAGAAAATAACAAAAACCTAGGTTACGAGGAGTAGATGAAAAGAAGACTTTGCAAAAGAGCTGTCAGTATGTAGGTGCAGATTTTTTTTCCTCCTTACCTGTTCATTCTTTTTCTGAACCCATTCCTTGTGCTTTTCTTCAGCAATTACCTTTCTTTTTTCACGTTCTTCCATTTCTTTTCTTTTTTCTAGCTGTTGATTTAATTCCTACGGATTTTTATTCAAACAAAGGCAGCATTTAATAGAAGTACTCAAATCACATATTAAAAACAAGGCTGACATTAACCAAATTAAACAAGAATATATTTCCTTTATAGAAAATACACCATTTGTGACAATAACTTACTTACTTAAGTAACTAGTCTATGATGAAAAGAAAGCATTGGTAAAAACTATAAGTCATTTTTTTTAGAAATGCAAATAATTGCTTGGCAGCAAAACACTAGGTTCTTAGACTAAACCTCAGCTAAATTACCCTCATTGAAATCAACTTTCCCACACATAAATTTGGCATCACTGTACACTATTGGCAGAAGCTCAAGAAAATTGCAACTTTTTTTAGTTATAGATTCTTAATGCAGATAAAGGATAGGAGTTAAATAATCCCTAAATTAAAATTTTGATTTAGAGTTACCAAAGAAGAAATGCAAAGAAACGATTCAATTTTCTTAAAGGAAAAAAAAAGAATCCAGATTTTTCTTCACTGATTTTATAGCTGCTGCAGTGTACCAAAACCACATTCATATCCCAGATTATTTAACTGCCTTGCTGTCACTCGAATCTACACGTTTGGGCATTTCCTCAAGAGAAAGAATGTAGAAGGTATGGCCAAATAAAACTTCGAACTGAATGCCACCACTCTGTCACTCATCAGTTAAATTACTGCATTAGTTGAGAATGCTGTTCAAACTAGACTCCTAGGACTCTACTGCCATAATTACTAGTTATTTTTCTTCTCTCTCCTTAGATACTAATAATCAGACACTTTTATATATCTTTTATTGGACCTCACTCCTCCTCCCCATCCCTCCCTTTCCTGAAGACCTACCTACCTGAGTGGGGGTACTAGTGGGAAAGCCAATTTTTCAACTCTCAGATAATTCCAGTGTGTTAAATGAAATGAAGATAAAACTTGACACCAAGAACATATCTTTTGGACTTTAGAACAACTGGTCACAGGATGACCTCTCATGTCTTCCATGACCTCTCATCCTAAAATTCTGCTGCACAGAAAACAGCTGCCCTCACTCATTCAGAAAGTCTTCCAACTTTTAAACACTATACACCCCTCAGCCCCTCACAAAGTAAAATATCCATCTGGTTTTTAAAGGGATTTTTCATGACCTCTGCAGAGGTTATGCCTTGATTATTCACTTAATGCTTTTTTGATGCAGTGTCTATTGCAAAGATAGCAAGAACTAGATACAGATGAAATTCCAGACATCTCCAATCTAATGTGATTCTACATACACAAAAGAATTAAAGCACTGCATTGTGAGGAGCTGTGTATAACAGTTCCAAAAAGGGAAGGGAAGGGAAGATGAGATGAGAAACAGTGTGGACCAGGGCAGTCAGAAATGAGTACCAGAGACAGACAGTGAGGAGACTGCTTGACTAGATGAGGGAGTGGAGGGGGACAACTAGAAAATTAGAGTGTAGTACTAACTAGATGGGAAAAAGGTCTTTTGAGGCAGGTAGAGTAAATTGAACACTATGAAGCAGGAATACATGGCAAAGGCGATGGTTCTGAACCCTTAAAGGCTGAAGACTATATTTGAAGGAAGGAGAACATCTCTGAGGGAGCTGACTAGGAGGTTTCCACAGTGCAGGAGTTGTGAGGGGAAGAAGGTCTGAGGAGAAGTGTGTGTATGATAGGCTAGATACAGATCTGACAACCATATATCTAAAATTTTCTAAAACAGTCTTATTTTATTTTCAAGGGAAGTAATTATTTAAACATACAACTAATAATATGATTGATTTTATTTATGTACCCTTTTAAGATTCGTCACATAATTAAATTAAAAAATCAGGGGAAAAAAAAGGTGACTGTGTTCACAAATTTTAGTTCATATAAGAATTAAAGATGAAGAGTCAAAAGTACCTAGAAAATGCAAAACTGACCCAAACTGTGCTCTACTCTCAGGATGTCTGGTCAAGTAATTTGTTACCCCAGAATACATCCCTTTCTGAGACACAACCCCCACCCCCAAATACACACACAAGGCAGCCCCTCTCAGAATTCCCAGCCTGAATGCCTCCACCTGTTTACCACCAGGGTACGCCTCTTCCGGACACAGCCAGTGTCCTCTCCCACAAGGCCCCTAGAATGTCTTCTGGGAGACCACTGAGTTTCCACAGGATTATTGCTATTTTCCCAAACAGTGAATACTTGATTATGGAAAACCAAAATCCAAAGAGGATCCTAAACACACATTTTTATTTCAATAACTTGTGCTGACTTTCAAAGAACTTTTTACCACTGAGGGTAACAATCAGGAAAAGTGACAGTATTGAGTTTCACCAACTCTAAACCCTGCCCTATTTCTTTGTTAAGGGCTGAAATGGCCATAGGCAGGATGGGAGAAAAAAAGAAAAAAGCACCTGGATTATTCACAACCTACATCATTTTTTATAATTTACAACAGATTGTATTAAAATGTTGAAGTAAATGTTAAAAATTAGAATTAACCAAAGGTTATAGAGAATTTATAGCAGTCTGCCAGAGAATTTTTTTAAATAATAGAAATTTAAATATAGGTGGCTCAGTCGTTAAGCGTCTGCCTTCGGCTCAGGTCATGATCCCAGGGTCCTGGGATCGAGCCCCGCACTGGGCTCCCTGCTCCGCGGGAGGCCTGTTTCTCTCTCTCCCACTCCCCTGCTTGTGTTCCTGTTCTCGCTATCTCTCTCTCTGCCAAATGAATAAATAAAATCTTAAAAAAAAAAAGAAATTTAAATATAAAATGTATATGATCTACAAAACCAATATGCTAGTTTTTATAATACTAATGTTCAACATTTACTATATTTGTCATTCAACATTAGTTACAGATGTAAAAAATTTTGTAAGCAGGTAATTTTGATGAATTAAAATAATTAAAAAAAATTTTTTTTTACATTTTCTAAAATAGGAGCGCCTGGGTGGCTCAGTTGTTAAGCATCTGCCTTCAGCTCAGGTCATGATCTCAGGGTCCTGGGATCGAGCCCCGCATCGGGCTCCCTGCTTGGCGGGAAGCCTGCTTCTCCCTCTTCCACTCTCCCTTGCTAGTGTTCCCTCTCTCACTGTCTCTCTCTCTCTCTCTGTCAAAAAATAAAAATAAAGAATGAAGGGGGGGAAATCGGAGGGGGAGACGAACCATGAGGGACTATGGACTCTGAGAAACAAACTGAGAGTTCTAGGGGGGAGAGGGGCGGGGGATGGGTTAGCCTGGTGATGGGTATTAAAGAGGGCACGTTCTGCATGGAGCACTGGGTGTTATACACAAACAATGAATCATGGAACACTACATCAAAAACTAATGATGTAATGTATGCTGATTAACATAACATAATAATAAAAAAAAGAAAGAAAAAAAATAAAGAACCTGAAAATTGAAAAATAAATAAATTTTTTAAAATACTTTTTAAACTAAATCTTACATTTAGTTTAGACATTTGTTTCAGATGTCTGAAACAAATGTCTAAATGTCTGTTGCTGAAATAAAATTTATGAGAAGAGATGATCTTTTTAAGGACCCAATTATCCTTTACATTTTCCTTTAAGTTTTCAAGGAAGAAAATAAGACCACAGGGGTAAGTTCAAAATTAAATACTAAGTCTGACCCATTTATTTCTACAACACATCTTGATATTACGGAAAAAAACATTTATTACATTGGAAGTTGAAAGAACCAGGACCCAGTCCCAGCTTTGCCATGAAATGAAATGTTGGCAAAGTTACTTTCTGGCCCTCAAAAGGAATCTGAGATGAATCGTTCTTTATGGTTAATAATCTATGCTTTTAATGATATGATTTACAAACAAATTAGAGAATGCAGTAAATTAGGACAGAAGAATAAGAAAAGCATCACTTAGAAAATAAAACAAGGAAAAGGCATGAAAAAAATGTGAATACCACAACAGCACAAAATAAACTTATAAAGTGAGTAGTTGGCCTGTATGTTATGATATCCCTGGCATGACTGATATGCTAAGATTTATGCTAAAATATTTTAATTGCTTTAGAGTTAAGTAATGATGTAGCCATAAGAAATTTCAAAGTACTAAATACATGAAGAGATTTTCATCTTTCAACTAATTATACTCTGCTATATGCTTAATCATTGTGGTAGGGACTTTATATTCATTATTTTCATCTGTTCTCAAAATATATCTTTAGTAGTTATTATTTCCATCTGCTTTAACATGTAACAACAATGAACTTTCATTGAATGTTTCCTATATACTAGGCTGTAACCTTATGTTCACTTAGCCCTCATTAACAACACTATGAGGTGAATATTATTCTCTCCCCTTTGACTGATAAAGAAATTGAGGCACAGCGAGGTTAAGGATATGCCCAAGATCCAAGTTTTGAATCCAGGAAGTACAGCCTAAGAATTTCTGCTTTTAGCCACTTTAGGATTGCCTCTCTAACATCTGGTTTATAAAGAGACTGGGGGCTCAGAGATGTTGGGTAACTTTCCCAAGGTCACAGAATGGCAAGGCTAAAATTTCAGCCTTGTTCTGTGTGACTCCAAAGCCCAGGCTCCCTTACAAATTTTTTTGCAATTTAATTAACTTCTTTTATTGTATGCTGACTCAAAAAATGACTTGAAGTGGTCCTCCTTTCCTTAACGTAACAAGTGAATTCTAGTGAGGTTAGAGCTAAAGCTAAATACCATAAACTGAACTCCACTTTACCAATGGCTCGCTAGATCAGTGTTTTCCAAACTGTGAGTCCAAAACCAATTTAGTGGGTTATGAGTGGCCTTTAAAAACAAAACAAAACAAAAAAAAACAAAAAGAAAAAGAGAATAGCATACCAGGTTTTGCACAAAATTAAGAGATCATTTCAGATACGTACATGTATGGATTTGTGTGTGACATGAAGCAAAGTAGATTTCTCACCATGAACAAAATATTTTGAAAGCCACTGCACTAAATAATGGAATTAGTAATGTTAAAACTTGAGGCTGAGATAAGAGTCTGGGGTCTCAATAATACACACTCATTCTGAAAATAAATGAAAAACCTTTAAGAAGGCTATGAATAGCAATGTTATCAGTAATAACACTAATAAAACACTACCAGTCACCACATTTTGTCTCATTTAAACCTCACAAAAGTCGTGTGACATAGTTATTATTTTTATTCTTATTGTACAGACAGGAAATTGAAGCAAAAAAGTTTAAACAAGCCCGCCTGGCATCAAATCTTAAGGTCTTTCTCAAGCCCTCTGCCCTTGTAAGAGGAAACAAGTAGTACTGTGTACTTTTCCAGGAATAAATTTATTTTTTAGAATACAAATATCATGCAATAGGGAAATAGAATGCACTGGTTTCTACAGTCATTTGAATCATGCCAAGCTTCCTGAATATGTGACTGCGTATCTGGTTCAAAATCCATCGCAGAAATAATTAGTTTCAAAACTGATACGGGAAATCTATTCCAAGGAAGATCATGGAGGGCAATGCTTTAGATCCAAGGATTTTTATGACAACATAGTTACTAATAGATTAAACTTAAATACATGATAACAGTGAACCAATTAACTATATTCTAATATATATCTAATACTTATTTTAAAGATTTTATTTATTTGAGAGAAAGAGCACGCATGCACATGTGCACATGGGGGGAGGGGCAGACAGAGAGGGAGAGAGAGTCTCAAGCAGACTCCACTCCCAGCACACAGCATGACATGGGACTTGATCTCACAACCCTGAGATTCTGACCTGAGGCAAAATCAAAAGTAGGACACTTAACCGACCAAGCCACCCAGGCACCCTATGTCTAATACATTTAAAATATATTTTAATAATCTTAGCCAGCCATTTAGAAATGATGTTGTAAAAATATTTATAATGATATAGAACCATATTAACAGTGTAACAGGCAGAAAAAAGGTTACAAAAGAGTTTGATCCTGTTTCTTTAGAAACAAGACATACCCCTCCCCATTCAAATCTACTTGGTTTCTGTGATCAGATAGGGAGAGTTCAGATAGTGAGTCTGGATACTAGGGGATGCCAAATCATCCAAATCTCTTTAGTTGCTAGTTTCTCAACAGCAAATAGTAAGAGTTAAAAAAATGAAGGATTCATGTGAAAATGTATCTCATACTACTTTTTGAGTTTGGAGAGTGAGAGTTTAGAGACAATCACAAACACAGAGATGTCCATAAGCAAGGCAGGGCAGCACAGAGAACTGAAAAACCCTGAAAGCCCAGCAAATTGCCATCTCCCCACATGCACTCACTCTAGGGCACGTGCTCTGAGTAATATGGGGGTAGATTCTGGTCTCTATTTCAATTTTGGTTTCTCTTTCTTAAAAATTTTACCAAGTAAATACAGTTCCATTTACTTTAGTTAAATGTATATACAGTGAAGCTCCATTGTATGTGTCTTTATTTAAACATTTCTAGATTTTTTTTTTAAATAGACTCTCAAGAAAATCTGGAAGTCTATATGCAATAATATTAACCATGGTTACCTTCAGGTGGTGAAATTAGAAATTTTAATGTTCTTAATTATGCTTAGCTGTATTTTCCAAATGTTCTTACAGTGAACATGTATTATTTTTACAATAAGAGTTATTAAAATGGATATAGCAAACTGATACAAACAAATGGAAAAATTTTGTTTTGAGGGATATCAACATAAACATTTTAATTTTGACAGCAGCTCTAATTTGTTAACTCATAGATTAAGCAAAAAGGATACTGTCTAGTTTTACCTCCAGAGCTTTCTGTTGCAAACGGTCACGTTCTACTTTTTCTTTGCCAACAAACCACACTTCCCATGGTGTCAGGCGGCTTTCTGGTAGGTGCACCTGTTTCTGTTCTTCTTGGTTATCTTCTGATTCAGCCACACTATTCCAAAGAGGGAACACATAGCACTTGTACTCAAAACTCTTTGGCTTCACATTCAAAATCACTTAACTATACAGCGAAAGCAGAATTTAATAATATATTTACAATACTGTGATTTTTATAAATGCATATATATGAATTAATTATATATAAATATACACTTGAAAAATCATGAACAAAAAGTCCAATATTTGAATTAGTTTATCTATCAAACTGCCTTGGAATTCCTTCATCTCCTAAAATCACACTATTTAAAAACCCATTGGGATAACTCACACCCAGTATATTTGCCTCAATGACAATTTTTTCCTAAAAATCTCTTGTCTGGACAACTAATTACAAGACATGATCCTAATCATATCCTGGAGCAGACTTTTCCCTTTTCATCCCTTAAATAGTTCAGGGGAAAAAAAGAACATGTATATATATGCAGAGAGAATGATAAAGCAAATGTGTTAACAATTACGGATTCTAGGTGAAAGGTGAACAGAAATTCTTTTTTTTCTTAAGATTTTTTTTTTTTTTAAGATTTTATTTATTTATTTGACAGAAAGAGACACAGCGAGAGAGGGAACACAAGCAGGGGGAGTGGGAGAGGGAGAAGCAGGCTTCCCGCAGAGCAGGGAGCCCGATGCGGGGCTCGATCCCAGGACACTGGGATCATGACCTGAGCCGAAGGCAGACGCTTAATGACTGAGCCACCAAGGCGCCCCAAGATTTTATTTTTAAGTAATCTCTACATCCAACATGGGGCTTGAATTTACAACCCCGAGATTAAGAATTCCATGCTCTACTGACTGCGCCAGCCAGGTGCCCCAGAAATTCTCAACTTCTGTAAGTTTGAAATTGTCTTGAAATAGTTACAAAAAATATACATGGCTCTTGTGTTCTTTAATGTTTTAGTTCTACTCCCTTTTATCAATTCTTCAGACAGGGTGTCTACGATTTTCCATTTTGGTTACCGCATCTCCCATATGCACCTCTGTCAGTCCGACTCGTCTAGGTACATGGAAAAGTAACTACTCAAGCTCAAGAGAAGCAGGGTGGGGAAATACTGGGCCTCAGCCAGATACACAAGCCTCAGATAACTGAGCAAAAGCAGAACCATTAGGACCCAAGGAAAGAAAGGTTGTTCAGGACCCAAGGCAGCTCTAAAGACTAGGTGTTAACTGTTTATCTTTGGGTGGTATCTGGGTGGCAGAATATAAGTAATTCTGTATTTTAAACTTTCTTATTTTCCAAATTTTCTGCAACGCACACATATGCACTACTTTTGTAAATGGACAGAAATTTTTATAATTCTCAATATAAAATAAAGAGTAAAAGATTTCCAGAAATAAATTTCAACATATTTCTAAAAAAATAAATAAATAAAGACTAGTTGTTTATAGACTCAGCTCCTCTGTCTCTTTAACATTCCTGCTTCAGGCCACCAAATGCCTCTCCCACCACTCTGCACAACCTTTTCTACCTCATAGCTTCAGCTTACTCATTTTTTTCTGCTGCTTTCTTCATTCATCCATGCCCTCCTGCAATCTGCATTCTGGTGCGAAAGAGACACTGCTGATGTGTTGTTTATTTCTCATATGTATCTTTTCTTCTCCAGACTTTATCTGCTCCCACAGTCTGAACTATCACTAGGTGCTGATGATCAGTCATTCCAGGCTAGATCTTTCTCCTGAGCTCCAGACTTCTTTCCAACCATCTGATAGACAGCTCCACTTAACTATCAATCAGCAACAACCAAGTCTAATCATCTTCTACCCTCTATCCACTACCCTCTCCACCAAGAAAAATTTTACTCCTCCTTTATAATCCTATGCCAGTGAAGAGTACCAATACCCACCCAACTAGTCATGCCAGCAACCCAGACCTGTGACTCCTCCAGTGCCCTCTGTCTAGATTTCCTCCCCCGACCACCCACACACACATAATTACCTAGTCATGTCTTTTCTACTTCTTTCCATTTTCTCAAGCCATTCTCCTCTTCTCCAACCTTACAACCACTGTCTGGACATAACTGGCCTTTCTCCCTGTTTCAAACCATTTTCCACAACTGTTGCCACATTTACCCTTCAAATGCATCCTTCCATCATGTCACTCCCTACCTCAAAGTTCTTCTGTGGCTCCTTTGCCCAAAAGATAAAATCCAAACTCCACAGCCTGACACCCATGAATTAGCTGCTGCCCGTCTTCCCAGCTACTGCTTCTCTTCTTATGCCAATGGCTGATCTGGACTATTTCAGTTTTGTTGAACTTAAGCAGACTGATGAATGTGCCACGCCCTTGTGCTCTGCAGTTTTGTCTAAAACTGAAATGCCTCCATCTCCACAGGTAGCCATGCAAGAGCTTAGATTTGGGAATAAAACATTTGGGGTGAATCTCTACCTGCTTCCTCCTGGCTAAGTACATTTCTTAACCTATTCAAGCCTCCATTCTTACCTGTAAAATAGAAATAGCGGCAGAGGCTACTTCACAGGCACTACTGAACGAGACAATCTATGCTAAAGCGCACAGATTCTGTGCACTCAGTAAGCATTTGACACACGTCATTTAGTAGGAGGAGTATGGCTAATTCCTATTCTCCCTTTAAGAGTCAGCTCAGGCATTAATCTTTATTGCCTCACAGTAAAACTCTGCAAAAAATCTGGACTAAGTACCTTGGGCTTTCTGTCACTTGTCCATCTCTGCCATAGGCTATGAATTCCTTACAAACAGAAAGCATGTGTTAACTCATTTTTTATTTCAAGAGTCTAGCGTGGGGCCTAGAATATAGTAACCTCCTAAGAAATGTTTGTTGAGGGCCGCCTGGGTGGCTCAGTCGGTTAAGCGTCTGCCTTCAGCTCGGGTCATGATCCCAGGGTCCTGCATCAGGCTCCCTGCTCAGCGGAGAGCCTGCTTCTCTCCCTCTGCTGCTCCCCCTGCTTGTGTGCTCACTCTCTCTCTCTGTCAAATAAATAAGTAAAATCTGAAAGAAAGAAAGAAAGAAAGAAAGAAAGAAAGAAAGAAAGAAAGAAAGAAAGAAAAGAAAAAAGAGAAAGAAAAAGAAAGAAAGAAAGAAAGAAAGAAAAGAAAGAAAGAAAGAAAGAAGAAAAGAAATGTTTGTTGGAAGAGCACGGTATTTTTTTATTTTATTTTATTTTTTTAAATGACATTTTAGGGGCACCTGGGTGGCTCAGTCGGTTAAGTGTCTGCCTTCGGCTCAGGTCATTATCTCGGGGTCCTGGGATCAAGCCCTGCATCAGGATCCCTGCTCAGCAGGGAGTCTATTTCTCCCTCCCTCTGCCCCACCCCCCGCTCATGCTCTAATAAATAAAATCTTTTAAAAAAATGACATTTTAAATATTAAATTCCTTGCCTTAACATTTTTAACAAATGATAGCGTATACACTACAAAATGTATAGCATATACACTACAGCGTTACCCATAATCGAGAGGCTCGATAAGCAGCTTTTTATGACTAAGATATGTATTAAGGCATGGTTTTCCTAATGGATAGAGTGATATAAAAAGCAGGATAGAGCTGGATAAACAGAAGGCTCAAGGCATATCATAAGACTCCAGGAAAATACTTGGCATCATCTTGTCTGAAGTAAACTATGAGCTTCATCTCAGTCCTGTCCAACACATTTGAAGGCCCATGCATCCTCTAAGCATGGCTCTATGTACACCTAAAATAACTGGAGCTCATATCACCATGCACACCTGATACCTGAGTCTATCTCTGTGTCTGATGAATAATGGACAAAGGCATAAAATCCCACACAGCTATGGGTTTACTCCCTGGTCCATGGAGAGAATGCTCACTGCCTGGGACTGGGACTATATACAGGTCAGACTACCTGCTCTCCTCCCCTCATCACCCCCAAACTGTCCAGGACACCAACTAAAGGTTAGAGGTATGAAGGATGACTGATGAAATTCTGTAAACATTTATCTCTCCTGAAAGGAAATGCTAAGTTTTCTGAAGCATTTGAAGATAACCGCTGTATCTATCTGTTCTCTAGGAGTGGGAATTAAGCATTCATTCAGCACACATTTACTGAACACCTAATATGCATCTGACACTTGCCACACACAAGGCCTGTCAACTCCTACATTCTTTCCAGGCCATATCCTATCCCTTTGATTTATAGGGAATGACCTGTGCTAAGGTCATGATAAGGAAGGCAGCCTTAACCCTGGGATGCTACCAGCTCATTTGGGCTTTGGCTAAAGTGAGGCAAAAAACATGTCTGGCTCTTCTCCTGAGCTCTATTTGGTTAGGGCTTTGGCTCTTGGAAGCTAATGCAAGGTCTCAGTAGCTGAGCTGTGGTTTTGACAGCCATCATTCTATAGGTTGCTAAACTGTATCTACATTGCTCAGTCCTGTTGATTAGACTCAAAGGTATTTTCCAAAGCCTTAAAATTATTTTAAAAATCTTTGGGACCAACTCAATCCTGAAGAATGCTTACAAAGACCCATATGAAAATGGACTCCTGAAACTCTATCATCAAGTTCTACTATCAGGTTCATCAGAGGCCTGCAGTTGCTACAACCAGTATGGACAAGTGGCTTGCTTGGTTACTCTTACTGATCTCCATTCCCATCAATGTACTTACTTTTACTTTTCATTCTTAAGAGACTTACTGCTGTAACTGTGTATGAGTCATTTCATATGGTTCCATATTCCATTCATTCACTCTGGGTATGAATGCTTTACACTAAAGGGGGCTATGTTGCTGCTTATACATAAAGCACAGGTTCTCTGGTTTGTGTTTCTGAGATCTCCTGTACTGTGCTGTACACAGCCCGACAATCAGAAACTTGTAAATCTTCCTGAAGATGACATATGAGTCTATTCCAGATGGGGCCTACATTACTAAGTCTGTCTCAGAAAGTTATTCCTACAGGGATAGGCCCTTTGTTCTTATATACCCAATAACAGCCATGTAGCACAGGGAAGAGAGAACATGATCTGTATACCTCGATACTAAGGCCAGCTCTGCTAATAACTAGGTATATGCCTCCGAATCAGACTTTTTATTTGTATCCTGAGCCAGTTTTGTTACCTGTAAAATGAGTAGCTTAATTTTGGCTTTAATTTCATGAGTACAGGCCATGTCTATCTTGTTTATGGTCCCCAGTATCTAAACTAGTATATGGCACAAACTAGATGTTTGCTGAGTAACTGTAGAAATAAAAAAATTCAGATGATTTTAATAATATCTTTGGTTCTAACATTCTCTGATTCAATGATTTCTATTCTACCGTTAATTGAGGACGCAGACCAGATTCCACCTTGTCTGTGGATGCTGAGGTTGACATTGCTAAACTGGGCTTCAGCTCCTCATTTATGACCCAAAATGTATACATACTGCTTACTACAACCTACTTCACCAGCAATCAGGTTTTTTCAAAACAACTACAGGTACTACTAAGGTGCAGTACACAATTTTGGTGTTAAGGGTTTGAACAAGAGTTCTGGTGTCCACAATCTGACTTTTGAATATTCACAAAACTCCCGAAACGGTAGCAAAATTTTGTGTTTTTGAGACTACGTACGTTTTTCTGGGGAGTGAGACTGTGGCAATCATATTCTCAGGAAAAAAAGATTAAGAATCTTAGAAAATCTGAAGAAATGCGTGAGCACTGGCCCACAGCTCTTTATGTGCAAAAAGGAGCAGCACCTCAGGAGGGAGGTGCCTGCAGAGCCTCTGAGGCGAGGCCAGGAGGGGGTGGGGCCACCAGAAGAACGTACTTAGAAGGGTCTGAGGAACCTCGAGGGGGGCTGTATCGGCCGGCGGCCTCGGGTTTACCTGGTGCACCCCTGTAACTCCACTCCTCTCAGGCTCGCCACCTTAGCCTGTGAATCATGAGCACCTTCATCCACGTCTTCCTCATCCTCCCCGTCACCATCGTCGTAGTCAAACGGGAAGCTCTGGTGGCCGAGGGGAGACAACAGCGACATGGTGGAATTGCTGCAGCTCAGCGGCGGCGGCGGCGAGCACACCGTCACCGGCTCCAGCCCCTGCCTCGGGGCGCCCGCCATGAGGACGGAGAAGGAGTCAGAGGAGGGCCGAGACCTGGACCTGCAGCCGGCGGAGGACCGAGCGTCGGAAGGTGGCGAATCAGCCCCCCACAGCCCGTCCGCCCACATCGGGCCCGCCAAGTTCAAACCGGCGGAACGGCGGCGGGGACGTGCGCTCCCAGCAGGCCCCGCGCGCACCGGGCCGGCCTATCCGGTCGGGCACAGACCCCGCGCTGCCATGGCGACGCGTGGAGGCCGCGAGGGCTTTGTCCGGGCCTGCCGCGGCTTGCTGCGCCCGCGCCTCTCTCGGCCGGCCCTCCCCCCTCCCAGCCCGGCCGGCCGCTGCTGCGGGAGAGCTTAACTCCGCATCTCCGCTCGCCGGCGAGCTCCCGCTCGCGGCTGACAGCTCGGAGGGCACGTGTCCCTTGTCTGCTGTGGCGCAGCAGGTCTTGTGCTAGAAATGCGCTGTCACTGAGCAAGAGGCGGAAGCCAAAAATACCCCCGTATCCTTACGGGTCAGGGTTATAAGGATCAGTCGTGAGTTCTCTCAGCACACAGCTATATTTTATTGGGGAGAGGAGAGCGAACTTTGTCCAAGTTTCCAAGTGTATCCAAGGATGCACTTTTAGGACAAGCTTCCGTTGTTTGGTAGCACCTTGTTTGCCTGGCATCTTAAGGTAACTAGTTTGTCTATGCGTGTACATTTTGAGGTCTTTTTGAGCCTCTAGTTTACTAGGGCCTGTGCTAAGCACTACAGTTACAGGAGTAAAAGCCCTACCGCCACACGTTCCTCATTCTTTTGTGGTGTAGCATAATACCATTAAAATATTCTGTGATATGCATTTTATTCATAACAAAAATTTTTTGTGGGACCTCGGAAAGAGCACTGACCTTTCAGGGATTGGGAATAGGGATGAAGGTAGCAAGGAAAAGGTGATAGACAATAAAGCTGGATGTTTTTATTCCTGCTGACAAAACTGTGTACAGTTGTAAATAAATAGGGCTTTGTCCCCCTCATAATGCATATTACTAGTAGAAGTATCAGAGTGAAAACTGACAAAGGCCAAAATAGCACACAAAATTTGTTATTGACCAGAGTGATAGAAAATCCTTGGTGAAATTTAGATCTGCAAAAGTTGACACAGGAGAATTAGATATGGTAGAAATAATAGCAACAAAGGGTAATTCAGAAGGCAGTAGCTATAATTAATAAAATATGACATGGTTAAAACTGTTTTAAGGCAATGCTAGTTTTTGTTAATTTTGTTAAAATTTTCAGTAAAAACAAAATGAAAATGGAAGAAAATTGGTCCAGAGTAATAAAATTAATCAAGAAATAAAACTGGCTTAGTGGTTTATATTCTCTACCCCAATTATTCAATTTTGGCATATCTGGTTGAAACCACTTATGATAACCTCCCTAGAATCAGTAACAGCATCAAAAGGCCTAGGGCCACTTTAGGGCTTCATAGGAGGTAAACTTGAGCTATTCCCAACAGACATCATCTGACATACCTGAAGCAAAGTAGGAAAAAGCACAAGTCTTAGTAAAAAAGGAACCTGGATTTGAATCAGTAATTTTTTTTCTTCCTCACTTGGTTTCCTTAAACAAGCTGTTTGGCTTTTGTAAATCCTAACTTACTCCTTTGTAACATAGGGAAATAACCTACCTCCCAGTCATATTATCTCATTAGTAATAAAGTTTCTGGCACAGGACCTGACAAAGAAAACAGTAAATGATAAATTTTGTCATTTAAACTCCCAAGCTTTCCTACTTTAACCTTTTGGTATAGGAAGCTAAAATGTCATACACTTCTCTGCCTCCTCAAAATGTTTAATGAAACAAATTATGTCCTTTCCTTGATGCCTCAGAATCCTGATAATAATGACCAACTACTGCATTATGCTGTAGCAACACTGGAAATAATGAAGCAAAGAGATGCATGACACACGTGCTGCTACGTGAACATAATTGAGTCCCGTGGTCTCCTTTCTTAGTGTCTTGTCACTGCTGAGACTGAGAAGCCATAATCAAGTTTGGTAGAATTTTTTTAAGATTTTTTTTTTGAGAGAGAGAGAGAGTAGGAGCAGGGGTGGGGAGGGGAAGAAAGAGAGGGAGAAGCAGACTCCCCACTGAGCAGGGAGCCAGACCATGGGGCTAGATCCCAGGACCCTGAGATCATGACCTGGGCTGAAGGCAGATGCTTAACGACTGAGCCACTCAGGCACCCCTCAAGTTCAGTAGAAATATATATAAAGGTATAAATAAGCTCAAAAGAAGGTCTCTCCCCTTAAGTTTTTGGGTATTAACTTAGTAACTTCTTACTACTCATTTATTTTCACTTTCATGGTATACATTTGAGATAAATTTTATTTTTTGCTGGCATTGTAACCTTGTTGTAAGATTAACTTTTGTTTAAAAATCCCTGACTTTGTTACCAAAATAACATCATTACCAGTTAGCCTTGTAGCAATATATTAGGCAACTTTAAAAAATTTACCCCTGGACATACTGGAATATTTACAGATGAAACGTCTGAGATTCACTTCAAAATAATCCAAGGGGCAGGTGTCCCTGGGTGGCGCAATTGGTCCTGTGTCAGCTCTTAGTTTTGGCTCAGATGATGGTGTCAAAGTCGTGGGATTGGGCCTGCTTTGTGCTTTATCCTTAGCACGGAGTCTGCTTAAAACTCTCTTTGAAATAAATAAATAAGTCTTAAATAAATAATACTAATCCAAGGGGCAGATGGATTAGAGGGAGTTAGTGAATGGGTGAATGGGGTGGAGATAAAAGGAGATTTACCATGTGCTGTTGATAATTGCCACATTTGGGTGATGTAGGTACCTGGGCTGAAGGCTGAAGGGATGCAAGGAGTAATTATACTATTCTACTTTTTGTTATGGGAATTCCAGACATACACTTAAGTTTAAAACAAATGAACAAAACCCAAAAAACTATGTCTCAGATTAAGAGGAACTGGGTGCTTGTTTGGTTTCTAATTTGTTATGTGTGACTCAGGTATTCACTTAAATTTCATCAAGCCCTCTATTTTCTCATCTGTAAAATGAGGGCTTCATGACTGTGAATATTTATATTTAATCATCTGGGCAATTTGACGACATTTGGTATCATGCAGGATTTTAAATCATTTGCTTTTATTTATTTAAGCAATCTTTACATTAAACGTGGGGCTCGAACTTACAACCCTGAGATTAAGAGTCACATGCTCCACCTACTAAGCCAGCCAGGAGCCCCAATCATTTGCCTTTTCTTTTTTAAAGATTTTATTCCTAAGTAATCTCTATACCCAATGTAGGGCTCAAACTCACCACCCTGAGATCAAGAGTCACACGCACCACCTACTGAGCCAGCCAGGCGCCCCCACCAATCATTTGCTTTTAAATAAAGATCTAATTCATGGTATTCTCTTAAATTTCACAATTTGTTTTCCGTGAGTATGGTTCAGACTTAAGATAGAATAAAATCTTACTTCTAAATACCAGCAAAGTGTTATTCGAACGTTTATTCTAATACTCTTCACTTAAAAAATAGTTTAATTTGCTTACTTTAACATTAAGCAAATTTATTAATGTACCTAGTTACAAATTAAGGCAAAATAGATTGCTAGATTTCTAGAACTTTAAGAATTCAAAACACTGCATACAATAGTGTACTTCCCACTAGACATATCGCACAATTTACCACATATTTTAGATATCTGCTATTCTATATTTTAAATAAACGCAAAGTTTTCAGTGTCTTGAATTTTGGAGAAAAAAAAACTTTTAGCTACGTTTTTTTTACCAAGTTATGATTTAATATTTATCAGATGTGTAAATATACAAACATGATAGCAACTTTAAAAACTTGTGAATAGTTGGCCTTACAAAATTACAACACACTGTAAATAAATCCCTCCCGCATTTTATACAAACTACATGATTTTGATATACAAAGATTCTGTTTTTATTACACTGACAATGTACAACCAAGACTATTTACAATGCAAAAAAAGTATATAAACCACAATTTAACATTCTGCTACTGGCAGCCACTATAGTTTAGGAGGTAGCTTTAATTAAACAAAATGAACAGAAGCCACATTTCCCAACTTGTGTTCTAAAAATAATTTACATAAGATAAAAATTCATTATATGCACAGTATATACAGTTTAATTATTAAACTGCAATCTAGCTTAGTGTTTTTTAGTATATCCTGAATAACTAATATGGCAGTGGGTCTGCTATTGATTTAGCATATTGTTCAAAAAACATACTAAACATTTATAACTTTAAGACTCCACATAGTGACATGTCAGAAGTCCATAGATAAGAATCAAGTAAAATTTTTAATTGTTAAAGACCTAGGCCTAAGCCTTATTCCTTTTTCTTCTTCTTTCTCTTTAATGACACATTTGTTTTGTCTCACAAGAACACAGTATCTGAACTGTTGCATAGGCTCTTTTGTGTTTAAATCACAGTAAGGGGGAAATGTATGGAAGCTACCATATTAACATCACAGGTTTAGGAGAATCCGGCTCACTAAGAAACCATTATAAGTGCTCTGTATCAATAATGACTCCCAATTTCTTCCATCTTGACACAATAATTTACCACTGTTTATCTTCTGTATAATTCAAACTATACGTAGGTAACATACCAACAAAACTGGAAAATGTTGGTACAGCCAATGATATTAAGAACTGTCTACGAATGAGAACATTCCACAGAGCCATCAAATCCCTCAGATGCTATTAAAATCCCATATTAGTTAGTAGTTTATCCAAACCTACCAAACCCGCACAACAATTAGTCCTTTACTTTTTCCTAGTGTGGTCACAAGACATTGAGGGAAAAAAAAAAAAATCACTGCGAGCGCACCAAAGAGATGCGTAATGTCTGAAAACAAATGTTCAGCTATTCTTTTAAAATCTAACAGTTGTTAATATTGTTTTAAAAACATCTTCAGGTTTTAGATTTGTAAGTCACTTAAACAAAATTTATGATTCTATTATGTCAGAGATGGGACCCGAAAATGCAACAGGGTGATGATGCCTACTCTTCTACCCTCACAGTTCTACCTGGGAGACAATCCCTTTTTTGGCCCTGCAGTAAGTTGTCCTGAGATTAATGATGCAACATTAGGTAAAATTAGCAAGACTT